CGACTTTATATGATGTTTGATTTTATTATTCGATCATTTTTACATACATGGTTCAAATGTATATCTAGATAGTTTTCGTCTTTAACTGTGCTTGTGACGCTACAGGATCATTACGGCAAAACATTTGTTGAACAACCTTGCTATTTCAAATGATATGTACTTTCCTATGTGATGATTCTGGAAAATTGTTACCATTCACCATGATTCCTTTCATAAAATATCTTTTTTGGCCTTTCATCTCTGATTACTTCTTTTGGAAGTTTTGAAAATATTGATTCCTTTGAACAATGGATGTTTAAATACTTAGACTCTAGTTCGTTTTCTGTAAACAATTATCCTGACAGATTTTTCGTCTTACCAGCTTAAAAGGTAGCTTGAGGTTATTCACCTTCAACACGATACTATTAAACGACACTACTACTAATTTCTTTGATGATTTTCAATATATCTTACATTTTGATACCAGAAATTTATCATTCTTTATTGACTAGTTATTTGGTTTACGCAAATTTAAGATATATTCTCTATTGTTATGATAGAGGAGGAAAAATATACATCGTTATTTTGGCAGTGACCAGTACCTAGACAAAAATTCCGAGATTTGAAGTGCTATATTTTTTAATAAACATCATTTTTATTAGAGTTATGCCGAAATTTAACTGTATAAAGATAATTTCATCAAGAGTTAGAGTTTTATGAATTTCTATTTAAAAAGGCAATAATTTCACCTACTTGTATATTGAATTTGGAGGTTGAATTTAAAATTAAACAGGTTTTTACTACCGTAATCAAAGCTGAAGGCGAACGGCTTCAATTTTGTCTTAGTTAGCATTCATCAGTAAGTGGCATTAGAAACATTGAAGAAACTGACATTTTCACTGGTGTTCAAAATCATTTCATGAAGTTTCATGAAGTTTCATGATAAAATACACTAACATGGATCGGTTTCCAAGTCCCCTTGCAGAAGTTACAGAAGTTGATGAAAGAAATAATTACATATTCTGTATGTTGATCTGTTGACCAACTTATACAGTGATATTAATTCAATAGTTGGTTCGTATTTCTTTCATAGGCCGTGGATTGTTGAAGAGACTCTATATCTGGCCAGAATTTGAAAAAAAATAATTTGCAATTTTAGGTTTCAGTTTGTTTCAGAATTTACTTTGTACATTTTTACACTATTAACATCAGTAGATCCTTTCTTTTATCCATTCGTAGATATGAACTTCGAACAGTATAATCTTCCATAACTCTCTTTATTAATAAAACCTAGGTTTTGTTACGTTTATCGGCGTTTTTTATTGAGATTCTTTCTAGCTGTTTACAAAATTATTATGCATGTTATTATTTGACTGGTAGTAAATAGCTTACCTAATTTGATAAGGATTTCAAAACTAGTTAGATTGTCGATAATGATTAACGATTAAAAAAATATACACATTTCTATAGTAACCAAGATCTCGTCACTGTTATGATTTTATCGAATGTGTTGATATAGTTACCTGAACATGTTCTTTCTTGTCAATAGATTCATATTTTTTGAAAGGTTTCTGATTTGTTACATCCGAAATTTTGTTTAGTTGTCTTGACTTTTAAATATCGTAAATTTTTTACTCACATTCTTGTAAGTAAGCTATGTACTTCCTTATATCATTAAAAAGTGTTAAATTATTCCGGACAAGCATAAATTATCATTGATAATGTATGATCTGACAGAAATGTTATTCCCAAGTGGCATTGTGAATTCTAACACAAAGAAACACACAAAAATATGTTACGGTATGTGTGTAGAGTTTACATGTTTCAGAAATGTTAATGCACTTAGATTAGATTGAAATTTCATTTCAAAGACATTATAAACTTGAATTATATACATATACCTTGGAACCTTAAAGTGATATGTACAATGAAAAACCCTGAACATATAATGAATGGATTGACCCTGAGTAATCCAATGGGAATCAAAATATCGCTTCTTGAGTTTTTGCATGAAATTGAAGAGCATTGAAATACTTATATCTTAATCTGAATTATGTAACAACTACCAATATCTGATTTTCAAAATGCTTAGTATTAATAAACATATCGTTATGTAACTATATATATATCTTAAGCTACATTGCAAGAAATACTTGCTCCTGACTCAAATTGTATATAAGAGTACAGTAAAGAGTTCATGTATACTTAGAAAGAGTTGTCACAGTCCTACTTCAGATTCCAATGCTAACTTCTATCAGTTTATGTTCCAAAAAAATGGCAAAGCATATCTAGCACCAAACTCTAACGTATTTTATTTGCTAAAATAAATAATTTAACATAAAATTGCTCATTAATCATATCAAAGCTATTTATCCATAGTAATTTTGTCTTTTTATTGTTAATTGTTTTCAGTAGTAAGCACTATTATTTTTGATTGGTCAGTAAATTACTCAAAGCCTTAAGAATACCATTTATTTAACCATTCACACTTAGTCGACGTCAATTTTGTGTTAACCCAAGGATGATTTTTTCGCTCTCGAGGTGTCTTCGAAAATTGATAAAATACATCGTTATTGCAATAAAAATTTAACAGTCTTTCAAATAATTTATGTTAAGAGTTAGTCGATCAAAGTAATTTCAAAATGCAGAACATTGTATGTGCTGTTTTAATCAAATCGTCTCAAATATTTGTGTTGAGTTTGATTTATGTTAGAACTATACTACGACTTAAATTTAAGGCCACTGAATAAATCACAAATCTTCTCTAAGATACTTTATGATGGATTGAATAAAACTTTTATCACTTTGTTTAATCTAGTCAATTATCGATTAAGAAACAATGAAAAATTCATTACTTATATTGATTATCCAACTTTAATTGAAATATGAGCAGATCGATGTTAGATAATCATTAAAAACGTAGAAGCACTGGACGACCATTTCTTCTTAGTACGAGATCCTTGGCAATGAACATCCAAGAAACCCTATGCGAGACCCGAACCCACGACTTACGGTCTCGCGAGTGAATGCTTAACCTCCACAACAACGAGAGTGAATTCAGACATCTAGATCATAGAATATAAATCTGATTGGAAATATAGACAAAGTTTATAACTTTTTCACGAAACCGCCTAACTATGGACTTCAAATTGATATGAAGTAGCTGCTCAGTATACTTCGGTTGATAATATTGATTTAAAAATGGCATACATTAGAAACGTCAATTTACAGATATTCAAACCATCTTCAAATTTAATGGTTTCAGAAAACTTAAACATTGGTTAAATCATTACTTTGATACATGAAACCTGAACAAGAACTATTTTGTTTTGCTTTTTCACTCTCCAGAAAAATCCCGGTAATGATGGGGTATGTACTGGAGTTTGAGTAGACAAAGACTGATTCGTTATTTCACAGAATTATTACAATCCTTCAATTTTATATTTGGTCACAAATGTGAGGATATCCTATTATAAGTAGAATTAATCACAAATTGATCTCATTTGAAAGTAACATTGAAAAACAGTGATCACTGGACAGCTTTACTCGTCCTTGTATAGAATTCATAGATAATGTGTGAACATGATTCACAACGGTTTGAAGTATAGGAGCTTCGTGTTCTGTGATAAATGTTGAGTTATTGTAACAAGTGAATCGCTGTTCAGTGAAACGATTCCAACTTCAATCAGTTTGGCATGTGGGAGTGTTGAGTTCGTACTACTCGACACTCTCACACTAGCATGAAATGGCTGTCCATTATTTCTGGTTTCTCATAGTATTTACACTGATATCATTCTGTGACGAATGACACTTACAAATTAAGTCGATCTCCACCAATATCCCTCAAACAAAATGCACTACGATATTTCTTCGAGGAATTGCACATTTAATAATTCTCACTCAATATATTGAACTCTAGTTTGATGAAATTCATTCACATGGAATTCACTCTAATTGGCATATGTGCATACTGTGAGTATTGCCTCGATATACCTTAATTCACAAGCATGGTTAGCAGAGATGGATAGTGGCTAGCAGTGGAATCCAGGACGCGCGTTTCGTCCTATTCGGGACTCGTCAGCTGGATGCACCTGCATCTCAGAGTTGATGTTCACTTTGGGACTCGAACACAGTACCCTCGCTTCAAACGCTATCGCGTTATCCACTCGGCCACTGAGTCCTGATAGCCACTTGCTTGTGCGATGGGGTGAAGTTTAAATTCAACTTAGTATTGTTTGTTTGAATCTTCCCATTAATGGTTAGGACTGCGACTGGTCAGTCTCTAGGTACATCCAGCTGACGAGTCCCAAATAGGACGAAACGCGCGTCCTGGATTCCACTGCTAGCCACTATCCATCTCTGCTAAATTCATATAATGTTTAATCACCCGATGTATGTTTCACAAGTGTGTCTGATAATGGTTGGCATAAACCTAATTTCCTAATTTCCATAAGGACTTAAACAACTATATAATTTTCACCGATGAACTCGTGAAATGATTTTAGCTAAACAATCACCGGAAACCTGGAAGCACTGGACGGCTTGACTCGATGTCGTAATATAGGCTTGAATAATTATCAAGCCTAAAATCAACCTTAATTGGTATAAGAAAATATTACTCCATATATTTAAAGCATATATATTTATATAACATACATAATTCGTTAAAATGTATAAATTGCATAACTAAAAGTATTTGTTATTATAGTCATCAAGTGATTTTTTTTGTAAATACAAGATCTGATATCAATAAATCCATCAATGAAATGAATGTTTAATGTACCTGTTTTTTTGTCAAACAATAAAAATTTTTATTGATTAATAAAAACTACCCACAACTTTTATGTTAATATTACGCTCATAAGGTTTATATAATAATCATTAACCTCCTATTATTGTTCATATAACTTCACTCCAATCATTTAACACAACTTCTCGACTGCAGCTTCATTTGATCCATACTTACATAAACTTTAAATAGAATGGTACTTTGTTCCAGTTCACGAGTGAATATCAACTATGAAATACAGGTACATCCAGCTGACAAGTCTTATACAGGACGAAATAAGCGTCCTTAATTCTACTGCCTGCCACCACTCATCTCTGCTTTGAATAAAATACTTATAAAAACATTTATCAGAATCTGAACAAACAGTTTGAGAAAAATGGAATGTTAGATATATGGAAATATTAGGCGCATAAACTATCTTAGAAATAACTTGAAAGTTTGAAATATAAATTATTTCAATGATTACTCCGTCAATCTGATCCAAGTCTCTTCAAGGAACTAATCACACTTCTCGGAGTTTTATGAAGTATTATTAGTTATTTAGATTCCAATCTATAAGTCCATTTAAATTACGATGTGAACATCTAATGTCTTCTGAATTATATCTCGATCCCAGAATATGCAATAAATATGTTTGAACACAAAATTTGTTAGGAATCAAAATAAATTGAACTATCGCATTCTCAACGGTTTCAGTTGTCCAATGGAATAATAATATTAACATTATCTATACAATATACCGAGATTTATAAATCAATAGGTGTCTATTTTCATTTTAATCTTCTCTAAATACCATCAATATGCTACAGGCTGTATTTCAGATCTATTTGTTGAACACACAGTTGAAAAAGATATTTAAACAAACATCTATACTACCAAACAATTCTTCTTCAGGTCTTACTCTACAAAACAGTCATATTTACATAGTTCAATGAAAAGAAAAACAACAACAACCATCAAACCAATCAAAATAGTCTTTGATTAAACGATAGAATAGAATTCTGGTTTTCTTATGCCCATCAAATAAGTGAATTTATTGAACTAACATAAAGATACAATACTATTTTGTAATCTCATAGGTTAGTATAAACCACACTCATTCAGTCATCCATCCATTCATTCATTCATTCATTCATTTAATCTACTTATCATGAATCCCATTGCAATAGTATATTGATAAAGTTTAATATTTCAATAATTGTAAAAGAGGTTAGAGAAGAAATCAGTTGAAACGAATATAGTCTTTTTAATCATGATTGAATACGAACAAGTTTGTAATAGGCAATAAAGATTAGTTCAACAAATCACCCTATCTACATGTCAGTTTTAATAAGTTGAGGTAAAACGTAATAACAGATTAGAAGTATCATAAGGGGTTTTGTGGATATTATAGTCATTTTCGTAGTTGAGATCATGAATCAATTGAAGCTAGACCACCATGGAAAACCTGGAAGCACTGGATGACTGTTTCGACATATTGTGGGACTCCTCAACAGTGCGCGTCCACGATCCCGTAAAACGTAATAACTAATATAGAAATGTGAGAAAGTGTTTATGAGGTAAATGGAGATAAAATAAAACAACAATTATTGTGTTCAAGTTATAGTTGGAACAATAAACACTTCATATTACTTAATTATAAACTTTAAGATTGAATTCACTCCACATGTGTCATCGGTATACTCAACAACGTCATCATTTTACTCATCATTACTAGATTTACAGATGAAGTGTCTCAACTAATGATACTTATCACAAGAAATTAACATAACACTTAACTGTTGGTTGACTCATGATCTTATGAGTCATATGTAAGTTTAACATTTTCCAACATCTCTGATATGTATGTTGTTTAAATATTAAAATATAAATTCAGTTTTCTCTACTTAAGATCTCAATACTTATACCCTGATAACATCAGTTGTCATAGCTTTGAGTTGTTTCTATTCTGATATTAAATGGTATACACTTTATTAGATATAATAGTTGAATGTTAACCATTTTCGATGACTCATAATGTTTCTTTACACAATCAATCCGTATTTAAGGAAAGAGAAAATTCAACCAATAAATATGCTGAGGAGTCCCATAATAGGACCAAACGGCCGTCCATTGCTTCCAGATTTTTGATGGGGGTCAAGCTTCAATTGACTCATGATTTCAACTTTGAAAAATACTGAAATCTCCACAAATCCCCTTCTGAAAGATATTAACATTATAGCTTATTTGTATTGGACAAGGACATCATTTAAGTGACTGAGTTTATTGTTTTTGTACTAATGAACCTATTCCATTGAAAAAAAAGAAATGAAGTTGAATAGGGATGTCTTACACATTACATTATATCTCATTGAACCATTAGATTATCAGAAAATAGTCTTTTTCTAGCAACTAAAATCTTGTCATGAATCGATAATACATTCTTTAACAGATATCTTTGACCGATACAAAAATAATATAGAAGGTTGACTAAGTAATTAGTTTTAAGCCGTTCAATAACAAGATTATTCAAACTTGATAACACCATACATCAAAATGATACACAAATTCCTCCCAGAAAAACAAAACCAGGCAGTTAAACGAAAGACCGGAACTATTCGATTACAGTTACAGAGATTTACATACATATAAGTCATGTAATATGGTGGACACTGATCGACGTCAAATCTCTGTGAAACTATTGAATTAAACCTTAAATAGAGTTACTATATATAAACGTTTTACAGTTTTTCTCTGTGGTATAAAAAACACTAGGTCGAAACACTACATCAGGCGTTAGAACCCTAATACTCACCACTGTCTAAATATTCAACTCCGACTGTAGCTCTCTATATTTACTGCCGCTCCCAGGACCGAGTAAAGGAGGAGGATTGGGCATGAGATCGGCAACCCCATCCCGTGGAAAACAATCTCTTTAAAGAAAAAGCTATCTAAAATAAACAAATTAAATCATTTGAACTCTGTCCTCCGAGTTGAAGGAAGAATTTTACGTCTCAGGATGAAAGCCAAGATTCTTCGGAAGTTATGAGACTGATGCCCCTTCTAACAACCAGAGAAACACTCTTTATAGGTACATGGAACTTTAGGACAATGTAGGAGACCGGAAGACCAGTCAAATACCAATAGAAATGAGGAGATACAAATTGGCAGTACTCGGAATCAGTTAAACCCATTGGACCCAAGCTGGATAGCAAAGGCTAGGTACGGGAGAGATGCTGCTGCACTCTGGTCACGAAGGGGAAAATGCTTTACGCACTCAGAGAGTTACTCTAATGCTGTCCAGAGAAGCACGAAACGAACTTGTAGGATGGGAATCTCACGGATCCAGGATAATCATAGCATCGTTCAATAACTAAGATTGAGGGGATCACAATGAATGTTATCCAATGTTATGCAACCACCAATGATAGCAACGACGACGATAAATATCAGTTCTACTCAAGGCTGCAATCAATCAAAGCTAAGTGCTCAAGGAAGGACCTCACCATCCTGATGGGAGATCTAAACGCCAAAGTCAGAGTGGACAACACAGGATATGAAGATATAATGGGACGACATGGACTGGGAGAGAGAAATGAAAATGGGGAAAGATTTGCAAATCTATGTGTATTCAACAAATCGGTTATATTCCCCCACAAACGCATACATAATGCTACATGGATCTCGCCGGACCACACCACAGATATATATATATATATATATATATATATATATATATGTATATATATATATATATATATATATATAGATAGATAGATAGATAGATAGATAGATAGATAGATAGATCATAGATGTTTAGTGCAGAAGAAAATGTAGTTTCTCACTTTGGTAAACAATTACTATAGCCCATTAAGGTGAATAATAAGTGGATATTCTCATGATTATTTATGCTGAAAACTGATTAAAATCTTTTATAATTTTTCTTTCACCATTAAAAGTATAGTTTTTTGGCTGAAAGTAAATCATCATTTCGGACAGCCAATAGGCATATAGGGGGTCCTTCTTATTCATCTAATAGGGAAGCTACACGTCAACGTTCTAGAATGTTACACTAGTGGTGATTGGATGGAATGTCCTCAGCTATTTCCGGGCTTCTTGAGTTTGCCAACGAGCCATCCTTACAGATGTAACAGTGTTAGTTTTTTACTTCGTTGGCTGGTGATAATAGTTAAGTTCTTTTTAATTGTTATTCCCACGCTGTAACATTATTTACATATATTCTTAATAAGTTTTTATATTTAACTATGCTTGTTTTTTTGTTCATATTATCTTTACAGAGAAGTTATAAACATGAATCAATTAAGTTTTCATATAATCTGTCATTTGATTGTTTTTTCATTTCTTTTTTTGTTTATTTTGTTTTGTTTTCACTAGTGTATAATGAGTACTTACTTACTTACGCCTGTTACCCCTCGTGGAGGAGCATAGGCCACACACTAGTATTCTCCATCCAACCCTATCCTGGGCAATCCTTTCCAGTTCTTTCCAGCTGTTATTCATCCTTTTCATATCTGCTTCTATTTCCCGGTGTAATATGTTTTTTGGCCTTCCTCTTTTCCGCTTCCCTTGCGGATTCCAAGTTAATGCATGCCTCGTGATGCACTTTGATGATTTCATTAATGTATGTCTTCTCCACTTCCAACGTCTTTCCCTAATTTCCTCTTCAGCTGGAAGCTGGTTTGTCCTCTCCCATAAAACGCTGTTGCTGTTAGTATCCGGTCAGTGAATGTTGAGTATTTTACGTAGACAACTCTTTATAAGTACTTGTACCTTCTTGACGATAGATGTAGTAGTTCGCAACGTTTCAGCTCCATACAGTAAAACTAACTGTCTTGATGTTCGTATTGAAGATTCTCCCTTTGAAGTTAGTTGACCGTTGTTTTGAGCTTCATATTTTCTTCATTTGTAGAAATGTAGTCCTTATTTTGCCAATCCTCTCCTTTACATCTGCATCTGATCCTCCTTGTTATGTATAATTAGTAGTTTTGTTAATTTTAAATTGAATTTAAAACTAATTAAAGCAATAATATCACTAACTACTTATTAACAGTACTTGAACTTGAATATAACTGATACATATAAATCAATTTCCTTATCTTTATTATTAAGGTAATTTTGTACTTCGTCCAACAAATCAAATCACTCATGCCGGATCTACAATACAACATTCATGTAGTGTTATGACTGTACCAGTTTTTATTGAATGGTATTTAAATACTGTAAGTAATCTATTTTTGTCACATTTTTAACTGTTTACCTTATTATTTGTTTATTTTAAATAGAATATACGTTTTTCAATCACTTATTATGTATTTATTACATAAAAACTATAAAAATACTGAAATCTCCCCAAAACCTCTTCTGATAATAATCAACATATGCACACTAGTGACTGACTTCAAGAGGTATTTCCTGCAGTTCTAGTGAGAAGCAGTAACCAGTGAAGTTCAACCAGGTCTGTTGTGAGATAACAACCCACTGAGGACAATTGGTGAACGGTTGCTCAAACTTCGTGGATTGGTTGAAGTTAGACATTAACGCCATTGCATGCCAACTCAGTGGTCTGAGGGTAAAGCGCTCGCGCGCAAAACTGATAGTTCCTGGGTTCAAATCTCGCGAGTGCGGGATCGTGAATGCACACAGCTGAGGAGTCCCACAATTGGACGAAACGGCTGTCAAGTGCTTCCAGGTTTTCCATGGTGGTCTAGCTTCAATTGACCCATGATTTCAACTATGAAAATACATAAAAACTGTTTAGTTAAATCAAAAAACAAAACCTACTAGAAAAGTTATGAAGAAACCGAAATCGAACATTCATAATAGACTGAGATGAAATGTTATCGAAGATGTCATTTGATTAAGTATACTGATAATATACGGTATGTACGACAAAGAGATACATTGTACTCCTTACGGAAAATTAAGTGATGAACTATAGCACAGCTATCATTACATCAGCAAATAATTCATTAAATTGTATATGAGTAAAGGAGGTTGTGCCACAGAAGCCGATATTTTAGTGTGTAATATTTAGCAATTTATTCTCTGTACATATCTTAAGTAAAAGGTGTTTTTATTAGATCAGTGCACTTTTTGAAAAGAATGATAACCAAAAACAGGAAGCTCTTAGTTTCATCAGATCTTAGAGGAAATGTTTCACACGCAAAGGAGAGAGCCACTCATATTAAAGAGCTGTATACTTGATCTTAATTGATCATGCCAACTTAACCAAGCACCTAAGAATGATTCAGAATGATAGACATCTTTCAGTCTTTTGTAGAATCTAAATTGATCTTATCTCCTACATTATTACCAACACTCACATACCTACCCAAATGTACGAATTTTTTAATCATTTTCAATGCGTCATTACTAAGGGTGAGTTCAGGTAGAAACTCATCAGTCTTATAGAACTTACAGAGGAAACAGGATATAGCAACTATCTTACAACCGATTTCGACTATGGTTAATTTTGGTCAAGCCCTTTTATTAACTTACTTAACAGACACTTGCATTTGGATAGTAACAATTTGCATATTTCTTTGGTCTGTTATGATCACTAGAGCACGTGACAGACTCTAGCCAAAACGTTGATTGCTTGAATATCATTCGATGACTCATCTTCCCCCCATACATGTATGCACTCAAATCCTATTATTAGCTTTTACTTTGTTTTGCTGGGTCTTTATACAATTTGACTATAAATTTGCCTATGTAATCGCTTGCGCTTGTTCGCTGATATTTACTCATGTGCTTGTAGCTTTGTGGTCTGCGTTATTTGATAATAAACTGTAGATGCAGCTTCTCTTTGCCTTCTGATTTCATGCATCGTTAAGATTTGTATTATTGCAGTTACCGAGGTGAAAGATTAGCGAAGCAGGGAACTACAGCTACATAAAGTGCTTGAAAAAAATCACTTTCTTAAAACAAATAGAATAAATCACTGTTGTTTAATTGAAGCAATTTTATATTTCACCAGAAATATGACTATCACTTTCGCCTAAATTATCTAAATTAGATCAGCATAGAAAAGCAACTATTTATAGCTTATTGTTTTTAAAAAATTACGAGAATTATATCAGGTGAGATTATATTGAATGATAGATATCTGTTTTAGAGTTTTATATGGTTCTTTGATTATCTATCTATTCCAACTAACTTTCTGGTGCTGTGACGAGCTATGCCCATGAGTTGATAATGATACGCATTCTCCCTATACACGAGTCCGGCCGGTTACTCAAATGAAAAGACTGAGAGCGAAGAAGGAAGGTTGTTGACTAAACAGAATCGATATATATGTGTACTCATTCATATATGTATAAATATCCCTGAGAAAACTAAGTAATCAATGGTGTATGTCTTTAAAGAATGAAAGCAATTTCCTGATTAACTACATGCATTCACCATTCAGCCAATTTCTGACTGACCTAATGTATCATCTATCTCACTTAAAAACTAGGTTTGGTTTCTAAGGTTCAGTTGATTTTTGGAGATGGTGGCACATCAGTACAACCACTCAGCTATGAACTGACGACTTTCCATCCAATTGTTTTTAAGTTATTTTCAGACTTAAATTAATTGATATTTACGATTGAGTTGTGCATGTATTCTCTATTTTCCCTTTTTGTTAGTTTTCTTATCCAATTAGCTTGTTTGGACGCACACATAGAAAGTGCTTTGTTTATTCAGTTTGATCAATAGTAAAGATAATTCTCATGGTCTACATGACACACTGTTGTCAGTTAGACAACCATCGAAAATCAGAAAGCACTGGACAATGATTTTATCCCAGTATAAGACACCTCGTGAAGGTGCTTCTTACCTATATGGATTCGAAGCCAGGACCTTTAGGTATCTTAGTGAGCCCCCAACCTTTAGATCACTAAGCAGGTATCCTATCGTTTACATATCTTACTAATATGTGGTATCACAGAACTTACTAACCACGTGTAAGTTCATTTAGAACTATTTTTGATCTGAAGACTACTAATACTATTCGTCTACTTAAACCAAACTGGATGATGTGTAATTCGAACATTATTACTATAATCATGATTATTATAAACATATTTTGTCATAAAGTGTATAACTAAGAATAACTTCTTCGTTTCTGTCTATGTTTGTTTATATTATTACGATAAAACACTTTCAACTAGAATAAAATTGGAAGTTGCCTATTTCAAACCAATACAACTACAAATACTTTTGGTGATCCAAAATTTCAAATTATTATAGGACAATATACAGAGAAATTACTACCAATATGTCAGCTTATTGTCACAAATATTGATTTTGTTGATACTGGTGAATATAAGTGTAAAACTATTCATCATGATTCTGAAAGTGATACAGCTTCAGCTTATATTCTTGTTTCATGTAAGTGAGTTTTAATCTTATTTTTCATAATAAAATAGGTAAATGATTGGAATACTGCAAATTACTTTTATACTTACGTACGCCTGTTACTTCTTGTGAAGCTGAGGCCACCGATCAGGACTCTCTAGCATATTCTATCTTGAGTCCTCCTTTCCAGTCTTTGTCAAGTTTCATTCACTTTTTTGATATCTTTCTCTTCTTGGTTTTTCCTTGGGGATTCCAAGCTAAGGCTTGCTTTGTGATAGTGTTTTATAATCTCCGCAATGTGTTCCTTATATACCAACAGTTTTTACAACTCAATCTTGTATGAGGTCATATACATTATAAATCAATTAAGAATGATATGACTTCATGAACTGATATTATGTCCTGACTGTCGAGGTGTTAGCTAATTGTAGGTAGTGTGTACGAAACACGACTTAAATTTATGTTACCTTGTACTCATCAAAAAAGTATACCTTTAATCTTGAGAGGAATGTTATTTTTTGGTGCAAGCAAATTCGCATAATCCGATTTTACACTATGAGACATTACCATTTAGCTATTCCCCAGAGATTAGCTTCCTGTAGGACTAAGATATTTAGACTGGTTAATCACTGAGTAGTGGCCAAAGTTATGCTTGTCTAGTCCTATTATGCTGGCAGTATTCTATAGGTCACTAAGCAATTTGAGTACTAGTCTAATTGATCTGATATCCCATGAACTATGTTTTAATGTTGTGGAGTTGTAGGTAGTCGTCTGCATAAAAATAAGTTGTTTAAATGGTTATTTACTTTACTTACTTTCACCTGTTACTCCCAATGGAGCATAGGCCGCCGACCAGCATTCTCCAACCCACTCTGTCCTGGACCTTCTTTTCTAGTTCTATCCAGTTCTTGTTCATTCTTCTCATGTCTGTCTCTATTTCTCGGCGTAATGTGTTCTTTCGTCTTCCTCTTCTCCCTTGACCTTGAGGATTCCATGTGAGGGCTTGTATTGTGACGCAATCAGGTGATTTCCTCAAAGTGTGCCCAATCCACTTCCAGCGCTTCCTCCTGATTTCTTCCTCTGCTGGAATCTGATTTGTTGTCTCCCACAGTAACTTGTTGCTGATAGTGTCTGGCCATCAGATCCGAAGTATCTTGCGTAGACAGCTGTTAATAAACACTTGTATCTTCTGGATAATGGCTTTTGTAGTTCTCCACGTCTCCGCATCATACAATAGAACTGTCTTGACATTTGTATTGAAAATTCTAACCTTGGTGTTAGTTGACAATTGTTTTGAGCTCCAGATGTTTTTCAGTTGTAAGTATGCTGCTCTTGCTTTGCTGATCCTCGCCCTCACATCTGCATCTGATCCACCGTGTTCATCAATGATGCTGCCTAGATATGTAAAAGTTTCCACATCTTCCAAAGCTTCTCCGTCAAATGTAATTTGATTGGTGCATATTGTGTTGTATCGGAGAGTCTTGCTTTTCCCTTTGTTTATATTGAGACCTACTGCTGCTGAGGCTGCTGCTACACTGGTCGTTTTCTCCTGCATTTGTTGTTGCGTTTGTGATAGAAGAGCCAGATCATCCGCGAAGTCTAGACCGTCAAGTTGCATCCTGCCTGTCCACTGTATTCCGTGCCTTCCTCCAGTCGTTGACGTCTTCATGATCCAGTCGATCACCAGGAGAAAGAGAAAGGGTGAGAGTAAGCAACCTTGTCTAACACCGGTCTTTACTTCAAACGAGTCGGTGAGTTGTTCTCCGTGGACGATTTGGCAGTTTAGTCCATCATAGGAGTTCCGTATGATATTGACTATTTTCTCAGGCACACCTTAGTGTCGAAGAAGCCTCCATAGTGCCGTCCTATCCATGCTATCAAATACCTTCTCGTAGTCGATGAAGTTGATGTAGAGTGATGAATTCCATTGATTGTTCCACAATGATACGTAGAGTTGCGATTTGATCTGTGCACGATCTATCCTTACGAAATCCAGCTTGTTGATCTCGAAATTGGGCGTCCACGGAATCCTTCATCCTGTTTAACAATACCCTGTTGAAGACTTTTCCTGGTATTGAGAGGAGAGTGATGCCCCTGTAGTTGTCGCACTTGCTGAGATCGCCTTTCTTTGGTATTTTGATCAGAAGTCCTTTTTCCAGTCTGTTGGCACTTGTTCTTCGTCCCAAATCTGACTGAAGAGGATGTGTAGTATCTTGGCAGTTGCTGCTACATTTGCTTTCAGTGCCTCTGCCGGGATGTTGTCTGGTCCCGCTGCTTTGCCGCTCTTGATTTGTCTAATGGCCATGCTGATCTCTTCAATTGTTGGTGGGCCAATATCGATTGGGAGGTCCGTGGGTGCTTCTTCGATGTTGGGTGGGTTCAGTGGGGCTGGTCGATTCAAGAGTTCTTTGAAGTGTTCTACCCACCTGTTTCGTTGTTCTTTAATGTCGGCGATTACTTTGCCATCCTTGCTTTTCACTGGTCTTTCTGGCTTACGGTAATTTCCAGCAAGTTTCTTTGTTGTATCATACAGCTTTCTCATGATTCCCTCTCTTGCGGCCTTTTCTGCTGTCATTACTAACTCTTCAACATATTTACGTTTGTCGGTTCTGATGCTCCTCTTCACTTGCTTGTTTTCCTCTGTATATTCGGCTTGTGCCTTGACTTTTTCCGCTCTTGTTCGGCTGATATTGATTGCTGCCTTCTTGTTCTTCCTCTCTTCAATTTTATCCAGTGTACCAACAGTGATCCATTCCTTGTGATGGTGCTTCTTTTGGCCCAGAACCTCCTGACATGTTGAAACGATTGCCTCCTTGATACCTTTCCAGTTGTTCTCCATGATAGTTCCCTCTCCATTGAGTAGATCATGAAAGGCCTGGAACCTGTTGCTGAGGGCTATGTTGAATTTTTGAGTTTGTCAGCATATCGAAGAAAGGCCGTATTAAACTTTTGTGATGTTGTCCGCGCCGTTGTCCACTGCTTCTTGAGTTTTAGTTTCATCTTGGCGACCAGCAAATGATGATGGGATGCTATATCAGCTCCTCTTCTGGTTCTCACATCCTCTATCGTCCTCCTGAACTTTTTGTTGATGCAGATATGGTCGATTTGATTCTGTGTAGTGTGATCCGGTGAAATCCAAATGGCTTTGTGTATGTTTTTGTGTGGGAATAGGGTGCCACCTATGACCAGTTTATTGAAGGCACATAGGTTTGCAAATCTCTCACCGTTTTCGTTCCTTTCTCCCAGTCCATGTTGTCCCATGAAGTCTTCGTATCCAGTGTTGTCCTTCCCAACCTTGGCATTGAGATCTCCCATCAGAATGATCAGGACCTTGGTTGGGCACTTCTCGACGATCGACTGCAGCCTATCGTAGAATTGGTCTTTAGCGTCTTCATCGTGGTCGTTGGTCGGCGCATAGCATTGGATGACGTTCATTGTAATGCCCTCTCTCTTTGTTTTGAAGGAGGCTTTGATGATCCTTGTTCCATGAGATTCCCATCCTATAAGTGCATTTTGTGCTTTTCTGGACAGCATCAATGCAACTCCTTGTGTATGTGGGGCATTTTCTTCTTCATGACCGGAGTATAACAGAAGTTCTCCTGAAGAGAGTCGTTGTTGTTCAACCTGCGTCCAATGTGTTTCACTGATTCCAAGCACCTCCAGGTTGTATTTTCTCATTTCTGCAGCAATTTGGAAAACTCTTCCGGTCTCCCACGTTGTCCGGACATTCCATGTACCTATAAAAATTGTTTCTCTGTTTGTAAGAAGGTGCATCGGCCTCATGACTTCCGAATGAACTCGGCTTTGATCATGAGACGTCATAATTATTCCTTCTACTCCCAGGGCAGAGTTTAAATGGTTTGAATGATTTTTCTGGTTAGCGTTTTTTTAGCGAATTGATTTTCTACGGGATGGGGTCGCTCACCCCATGCCCAAACCTCCTCCTTTACCCGGGCTTGGGTCCGGCAGAAACCCCCAGAGGAGCTACAGGCGGAGTTTGTTTAAATGGTTAGTCAATATAAAACTTTACTGTTGAGTTTATGATGACCTTGATCTTTTTAGTACTTTTTGTTCGTTATGCCATTTCTAGTAGGACTTACGATTCGTTTATATGCTACTATTGAAAACTACACTCTACTAATATTCCAGTGGTAATATACATGATTATTGATAAATTTATCACCTTGTTGATTATTGCATATAAATGCGAGACATCGTGACTTTTACAAATGAAACAATGAAAAATTCTTTTCCTTAACTGAAATATTTGTTGATAAAAAACAAACTTTTTGTGTGTACTATTGAGTTGTGACCAATGCAGTTCAGTCGGTGTCGGTCTTGTGACACTTACCAAATATAGGTAGTGAATGAAGCATTGAACAAGGTCATGGGTTGACTCAGCTCAGATATTAACAACGATGGATGCCGGTTCAGTGATCTGGAGGTTAAGTGTTCGCGTATGGTACCAAACGTTCTATTCGATTCCCACGTATGGGAATGGACACTACTAAAAAATTCCATGCTAGGCTGAAAAAGCGCTCCAGCGCTTTCAGGTTTCCGGTGGTTGTTAAGCTAAAATCATTTCATGAGTTCATCGGTGAAAATGATATAGTTGTTTAAGTCCTTATGGAAATTAGGAAATTTGGTTTATACCAACCATTATCAGACACACTTGTGAAACATACATCGGGTGATTAAACATTATATGAATTTGTTTAAGTGAATTCATGTATATTTGGTGAGAGGAACTGTGTGATTTGAGTGAATTCCATGTGAATGAATTTCATCAAACTAGAGTTCAATATATTGAGTGAGAATTATTAAATGTGCAATTCCTCGAAGAAATATCGTAGTGCATTTTGATTGAGGGATATTGGTGGAGATCGACTTAATTTGTAAGTGTCATTCGTCACAGAATGATATCAGTGTAAATACTATGAGAAACCAGAAATAATGGACAGCCATTTCATGCTAGTGTGAGAGTGTCGAGTAGTACGAACTCAACACTCCCACATGCCAAACTGATTGAAGTTGGAATCGTTTCACTGAACAGCGATTCACTTGTTACAATAACTCAACATTTATCACAGAACACGAAGCTCCTATACTTCAAACCGTTGTGAATCATGTTCACACATTATCTATGAATTCTATACAAGGACGAGTAAAGCTGTCCAGTGATCACTGTTTTTCAATGTTACTTTCAAATGAGATCAATTTGTGATTAATTCTACTTATAATAGGATATCCTCACATTTGTGACCAAATATAAAATTGAAGGATTGTAATAATTCTGTGAAATAACGAATCAGTCTTTGTCTACTCAAACTCCAGTACATACCCCATCATTACCGGGATTTTTCTGGAGAGTGAAAAAGCAAAACAAAATAGTTCTTGTTCAGGTTTCATGTATCAAAGTAATGATTTAACCAATGTTTAAGTTTTCTGAAACCATTAAATTTGAAGATGGTTTGAATATCTGTAAATTGACGTTTCTAATGTATGCCATTTTTAAATCAATATTATCAACCGAAGTATACTGAGCAGCTACTTCATAACATATTGAAGTCTTCAGTTATGTAATTACGTGAAAAAGCTCCTAGAAGAAGCCTATTTTTTGATTATTTGACGGTTCAATGAGATATGATGTAATGTGTAAAAAATCGCTATTCAAATTTTTTTCAATGGAATAGGATCATCATTACAAAATCAATAAACTCAGTCACTCAAATGGCACCCTTATCCTTTTCAAATAAGATAAATGTTAATATTTTTATTGGTTGAATTTTCTCTTTCCTTAAATACGGATTGATTGCGTAAAGAAACATTATGAGTCATCGAAAATGGTTAACATTCAACTATTATATCTAATAAAGTGTATACCATTTAATATCAGAATAGAAACAACTCAAAGCTATGACAACTGATGTTATCAGGGTATAAGTATTGAGATCTTAAGTAGAGCAAACTGAATTTATATTTTAATATTTAAACAACATACATATCAGAGATGTTGGAAAATGTTAAACTTACATATGACTCATAAGATCATGAGTCAACCAACAGTTAAGTGTTATGTTAATTTCTTGTGATAAGTATCATTAGTTGAGACACTTCATCTGTAAATCTAGTAATGATGAGTAAAATGATGACGTTGTTGAGTATACCGATGACACATGTGGAGTGAATTCAATCTTAAAGTTTATAATTAAGTAATATGAAGTGTTTATTGTTCCAACTATAACTTGAACACAATAATTGTTGTTTTATTTTATCTCCATTTACCTCATAAACACTTTCTCACATTTCTATATTAGTTATTACGTTTTACGGGATCGTGGACGCGCACTGTTGAGGAGTCCCACAATATGTCGAAACAGTCATCCAGTGCTTCCAGGTTTTCCATGGTGGTCTAGCTTCAATTGATTCATGATCTCAACTACGAAAATGACTATAATATCCACAAAACCCCTTATGATACTTCTAATCTGTTATTACGTTTTACCTCAACTTATTAAAACTGACATGTAGATAGGATGATTTGTTGAACTAATCTTTATTGCCTATTACAAACTTGTTCGTATTCAATCATGATTAAAAAGACTATATTCGTTTCAACTGATTTCTTCTCTAACCTCTTTTACAATTATTGAAATATTAAACTTTATCAATATACTATTGCAATGGGATTCATGATAAGTAGATTAAATGAATGAATGAATGAATGAATGGATGGATGACTGAATGAGTGTGGTTTATACTAACCTATGAGATTACAAAATAGTATTGTATCTTTATGTTAGTTCAATAAATTCACTTATTTGATGGGCATAAGAAAACCAGAATTCTATTCTATCGTTTAATCAAAGACTATTTTGATTGGTTTGATGGTTGTTGTTGTTTTTCTTTTCATTGAACTATGTAAATATGACTGTTTTGTAGAGTAAGACCTGAAGAAGAATTGTTTGGTAGTATAGATGTTTGTTTAAATATCTTTTTCAACTGTGTGTTCAACAAATAGATCTGAAATACAGCCTGTAGCATATTGATGGTATTTAGAGAAGATTAAAATGAAAATAGACACCTATTGATTTATAAATCTCGGTATATTGTATAGATAATGTTAATATTATTATTCCATTGGACAACTGAAACCGTTGAGAATGCGATAGTTCAATTTATTTTGATTCCTAACAAATTTTGTGTTCAAACATATTTATTGCATATTCTGGGATCGAGATATAATTCAGAAGACATTAGATGTTCACATCGTAATTTAAATGGACTTATAGATTGGAATCTAAATAACTAATAATACTTCATAAAACTCCGAGAAGTGTGATTAGTTCCTTGAAGAGACTTGGATCAGATTGACGGAGTAATCATTGAAATAATTTACATTTCAAACTTTCAAGTTATTTCTAAGATAGTTTTTGCTTTCAAAAGTAACTCACTTGAGTATTTCTATTTTAGATTGTAACAATAATGATAACATTTGAAATTCAGTCATTATGTTCACCAAAGGTACCACTTGTACATTAAGGGACTATCATTTATCCTCTATCTAAATTTAGATTAAACTTTTTGAAAGTTGTATGGTGTAAATAAAATCTTTCTAGCAGTTTAAACATCCCTGTAGAAAAATTCAAAAATGAACAATATTTGAACGAACAATTGTTTTCAATAACTTCATCATTAGGCTCTACAGTTATAAGTCCATAATGATGATACTTAGCAAAGGCCAAGATGATGATCCTTCAAATTTCTCACAATAGACATGATAAGCTCAGGAAAACATCAAGAAGCATTTTATCCAATCAGCGTTTGATTAGAAGTTTTGCTAGAAATATCGCAAAAATGACAAGTCATATGTAGAGGTTCTGATTGATTGATTACTACACTGCTATTATGTTGAGTAGCATTCCAGAATTTTCAGGAAAACTCAAGGGCTTCTAAAAGACTATAAAAAACCCTATATTTCCTGTACGTAAATAAATTTTTGGAGTAAAGTGCTTTTCGTATATTTTGTGCCTTCTCTCTCGTGTTCAAGCCACTGTGTAGTTCTAGCTTGTGGGTTACGAAACTAGCTTAGGTTCCGAATATAGCGTTCAATCAACAAGACTTATCAGTTACGACATTATATATTGTTTGTAAATTAGAAAGGTTATCTAATAAAGGTGAAAATGATTTGCAATAAAGTGTCTAGTCATAATCAGTATAATAGTAATATAGGGAAGATGAAAATGCAAAAAGTATCGTGTGAATAAAATGCATAGCAGGAAAATTTCATCTTATCAATTGAGATAACAATGATAAATAGTAATAATAATAAGATTGTTGTATGAATGTAATACGTAATAAAAGGGTTTTTATCAAGGTAATTACGATAAAGGAAATCGCCTTTGTTTAGAATATTTTTTCTGGTTAGCACTTTTTTTAGCGAGTTGGTTATCTGCAGGATAGGGTCGCTAACCCCACAACCAACCCTCCTCCTTTATCCTGACCTTTGTAAAATATTATAATTATGGATTTATAACCGTAAAGCCTGATGATGAAGTTATTGGAAACAATTGTTCACTCAAATATTCTTCACTTTTCAAAAATCTTTTTATTTGTTATAAAATGAGAAAGTTACTTTTATATAAAGTTGAAATCATGAGTCATTTGAGGCTAGACCACCATGGAAAACCTGGAAGCACTGGACGGCTGTTTCGTCCTATTGTGATACTCCTCAGTAGTGCGCATCCACGATCCCGCCTCGCGAGATTCGAACCCAGGGCCTACCAGTTTCTCGCTAGAGCACTTAACCGACAGACCACTGAGTTGGCATCCAACGGTGTTAATGTCTAGCTCCAGCCAATCCACGAAGTTGAGCAACCGTTTCACCAATGTCTTCAGTGAGTTGATATCTCACAACAGACCTGGTTGAACTCCACTGGTTACTGCTTCTCACCAGAACTCCAGGAAATACCTCATGTAGCCAGTCACTTGTGAACATATGATAAGGGGGTTGTTTGTGGAGATTTTTAGTAATTTTTATATGTAGTTGAAATCATACTCTAAGTTACACTTATTTATTTCCAATTATTAATCGATTTTTTTTTAAAAACAATTAATAAATAAAATTTTCATATTTTAATTCAATTTTATCGAAACATTCTAAAACCGGAATTGCATAAAAAATAATTCTACTTTATTTATGAACTTTGTATTCATTTTATTATAGATAAATTCATTCTAGAATTCTTGTATCCATTCATAATTTGTTTTTATTTATTTATTATTTAAACACATAAATATTGGTACAAGGTGGTACCAGATATATATGCGTCCCGCAAATCTCATTTGATTTGTGTCAGGGCTGTGATACGGCCCAGGTGCCCAAACTGAAGCAGGTGGTTTTCTTATGGGGCCACATCCCGATCCTTTGACCTAAAGGTCTAATTCACAAGGCAGTGGAGCGTCGTAAGGAGATACAGTCCCATAATAGCCGGTGACCAACGATTGATTCATACGCATTTTGTTCCCTCAGGATACTGGAGCCCATGTGCACCATTGGTTTGGGAATCAGGGTTTTCCAACTCTCCTAGGTGAATCCTCCACATCCACCGACCCGGTTAAAGCGCCGGACATTCGCTTTTCGTCCTCTCACTTTCGTGAACAACACCCCCGGCACGAGAAGGCAGTGAGTAGGACTTCCCTGGCAGAGGCTATATATTCGCTGGCCATGTGAGAGCATTTGGAGAGGGGGAGCAGACTCGCTTCACTCTCGGCCGTACCAGGGCATTTGGGGCCTTCATAATTTTATGATAATGTATTTTTTTATTACTATTGTACATTGTACAGTTAATTTAGTCTCTTTCTAAATACTAAATTAAATGTTAGTTCATTTAAGTTAATGTCAGTCAATTATATATATACATCTTCTATTTAACCAGATCCTATACGAAAACTTGAATTACACATAGACAATGAAACCTCTCTATCAGTCGGTCAACGTACTTATATTGAATGTCAAGCACGTGCTGGAAAACCTGCACCACAAATTCGTTTGAATTTAGGTGGATTACCTATTTCTGAAGCAAGAGTTGTACAAAAAGTAGATATTGAAGGTAAGCTAATAACAATAATAATGTCAATATTACCTATACACAACACTATTTTATTAATTATCAGAAGGGGTTTTGTGGAAATTTAGTATTTTTTAGTATTAAAATTAACATATATTAATCTACTTGAATAAAAGGTAAACTTTACCCGAACTAGTATCTATAAGGCTTTATCGAAGTCATCTGATATGGATGTACATATGCTAACAGAACCTGGTCAAATAAAGTTTTTAATGTAAGCAATAGGATATTACAAACCTTTACTTATTAAGAAAGTTAAGTGCTATTTCAACTCAGAAGCTCAATGAATAACGTATTGGCATTTGAAACAAAAAGTATCCTGTTCAAGTCCTGATATAAACATGAATATCGGGATGTATAAACATTCATCTAATTAATCCTAAATATAATAAATAATATATCTTGGATTTTAATGCTATTTGTAATCCAGCTTTGCGATAAGTTGTAAAGTTTATTTTCATTAATTTTTCATGCCTATTTTATGATCAGTCATCTCTGGGAATAATATTAATCAACAGTTGAGAAATTCAAATATTCACAGTCAATAATAAATGAAAAGATATAAATTTTATTTTCAGAGGAATTTATTTATTTCACTTTTTGTCGTCATTTTTATAAAATTTGTTTTCGATGCAGGTACATCCAGCTGACAAGTCCCAAATGGGACGATAAGCGAATCCTAGATTAATCTTATTAATTACTGTAATACCATCTAAATCGATGGACAAAATGGCAAAATTGATCATTTGATTATGCAATCAGACAGATGAAATCCTAAGGGAATGTCCTTCACATACCGAAATCATTTGACAGATTACCTAAATACGTAAATATTCATTAAAAAATTATAACTGTCGTTTACACATACAAAATAATCTATGGAAATATTATAACTTTTCGGATAATAAATGAATCACCAAGGATTAAAATAAATGTCACGAATTAATCGGTTATTCTTTGCTTCCCTTCTTCGTAACAGCTGGACAGTTAGAATAGAAGTCAACAAATAGTTAGTGCAGAATTTACGAATTTTAAATATCCTTGATATTTTTCGTAGGTTTATTCACAGTGAGAAAGATTTATATATATACTACTTATGAGAAATAAGGAGATGAGTAGTAGATTGACTATACAAATAAATGAAAACACTTAAATGCACTAATATTGAAAATCAAGTTTACTTTAAACTGAAGATCTCTAAAATGAAATAATTCATTTAAACTCCACAAATCCTATCGTTCCAACTCTGTTCAAACTAATTGAGAGTTAGAATAATGAAATTTTGTAAATGTTTTGATTTCTCAATAACAATTAGCTATGTATTCGAGTTACTAGGCTGTCAGTGTAATAATGTAATAACTGAAGCCCAACTAATACGTTAACTGTATGATTTGTTTGTGAAAAAGTTCCTAATAATTGGAGTTTACAAAAATATAAAACATCCCAGTGGTTTTAAGTTACAAAATTAATCAGTAAAAATCATATCTAGAAGATACAATAAAGACAGTGTAGTAATTATTATCAGAAGGGGTTTTTGTGGAGATTTAGTATTTTCATAGTTGAAAGTGTGAGTTAATTGAAGCTAGACCACCATGGAAAACCTGGAAGCACTGGACGGCATTGGACGGGTTCGAATCTCGCGAGTGCAGGATCGTGGATGCGCACTGCTGAAGAGTGTAATAATTATTGTTCAAAGTTGACCTTAGAGTTATTTAATCATTATTCTGATATATGCAGTGCATGTTTATAAGTAGACAAAACATTAAACAGTCATTTATACTTTTTTTTATTCAGATAAATTCAGTCAACTGAAGTAAAATGATTGAAGTGTTTTTGATATAAACTTGTTTCTTCTCTAATATAACTTCTTCACAAAATGATTGACAATTTTTTATCAGAATGGGGTTTTGTGGAGACTGTAGTAACGTAGTAGTTGAATTCATAAGTTGATTATAACTAGACGACAACGGAAAACAGTGAAGCACTGGACAACTATTTCTTCCTAGTATGGGATTGAATGAAGTAAGACATTAACACCGTTGGATGCCAGATCATTGGTTTAGAGATTAAGCGTTCACACGCGAGACCGATAGGTCCTGGGTTCGAGTCCAGCGATCGGGATCGTGGATATGCACTGCTGTGAAGTCGTATATTAGGACGAAATGTCCATTCAGTATTTCCATGTTTTCCATGGTGATCTAGTTTTAATTGACTTTTTGTTTTTCGTGAATTTAGAATTTGTCGTATTTTACCAGCTTGTTAGACAACGAATAGGTATGATGACAAAATAAATGACGTATTTCAAATGAATCAAACCAAGAAACCATATATATATCTTCTGAATGAGAGTTTTGGTTGAAACGTTAACCAACAATAGTCTAGAAATATTCAGATAATAAGTATAACTTTTAAAAAAAGTATTTCTAATTTTACATTATAACAGGTTTAATTACTTCAACTGCAACAGCGAACATTAAATTAACTAATACACATCATTGGCAATTGTTAACTTGTCATGTTGATATGCAAGCTTATCGAAATGTTAATCAAACATTCAAAGTGATTCACCTTAAGGATTATGGTAAGTTTAAAAATCATTAAAATTATTAGTTTTTAGTAGGAATTTCATTTATTTGATAGAAAGACTATGCGATATATACAGAGTAGATCAGTAATTGTGAAAATACCAAACGAATCAAAGATTATTATTTTTCAATATCTTAACCAGTTATCAATATTTATGACTATTTAAATCGAGGTTTAGCTTCCTTAGTAAAATAAAATATCTTTCCTGTATAAAATTTCCCTGGTTCGAGCTCTGTCCTAGGCTGGATTTTAACAACAACCAATCTAGTCTTGATAATTTAGTCAAACTAGACTATATATATATAAACACCGTATCATATCTGAACGGATGTGAACTTAATAATAAATCCTCCAAATATAATAAAATTATCGACTATATACATTTATTAATTGCTTCGCTTCTCTAGTAGAGTATCAATTTGTTTCATTTCAAGGGACTTCACAATCTACAGTCCAGTTCAAGTGTGCAGGTAAATTAAACATAGAAATTAATTCGATTTGATGAAGAATAGTGATTTACCGAGTAGAACTAGACAGAACAATATTAGGTCGTGCAATCTTTCGCATCCGAATAAAGTAAGAATATAACGAATAAAAAAGCACATAATTCGGTGATGAATTATACTTCTCAGTCAAGTTGGTTAGTTTATTGATTTTGCGGATTCTATACACAAATTAGATTATTGATTGCTACCAGTTTAATTTATCCAAAATTATTGGCTGGACAAAATATTCAAAGTGATATGTCTTGTCGTTTAATTAGTGGCTGGTGAATAAACCAGTCCTCTGTCGTCTTGTTTTCTTCATCGAGTCGGTAAAGCAATCTCGTTCTGTCGCAGTAAGTAGCAGATAGAACTTACTCCTTATTCATAGTAAACATTTGTATCAGTCGCCGAAATCAGTAGTCATCTCAAGTCACAAACTTGCCTTGACAAATTAGTCTTGGTTCAAGTCACTACAAAGAATAAAATTTATAGCAGAATAATATGAATTCATTTGTTTGGTGGATTCTCTTCAACTATTTATAACCTATAAATAATGGTATTATTTATTTGAAAGTTGGGGGGTGGACATATTGTATTAGGCAGGTACTGTTATAACACTCCGTTTTTTCATCTATATGAGTAGAACGTTAATTTACCTTAGACGGATATCTACACTAGATATCCTTCCAGTGTCTACTCTATAGGACTTCAACACAACTCAGATCAAGAACACGTGAATACTCTGAATAGAACGTAAGTATATTTCCACTTCAAAAACCGACAACAAAACTAATAATAACAAGAATAGGACAATATAGAACTCATCTGATACTTATCAGACTATCTACTAGTCTAAGCAAATAACTAATCATTATTTTCCTCACTCACACGTCAAGATCTCATCAATGAAGCACAATAAAAGGACGAATAAGTATAGAATAATAAATGTTCATAAAGTTGAACACTTTTGTGTTAAAATAATGTGAATATTCTAAGGAAAAATGTTACTAAAAATTCGATGTTAAAAGTTACGTAATAATAATCACAGAAAGAAGGATTGGTTATAAGATGATTCATCAGGGTTCTTAGTTGAGTCTGAAAAAAAGATGATTTAAATAATAGAGTACAGAGCTTATGAAAATAATTAACAACAAACACACTTGCAGTGAATAAGAATACAAATGGGGACAATCGAATGTATACGAACACAAAATTACAGAATCTCTTAATAAAATCTGAGAAACATACAGTAAATACTTAATTTGCAAAATGTCAATCGGTTGTCTCAGAATTCACTGTTCCTTCATTTTCATACCAATCACTTTCTGTTCCCATTCTTCCCATCTCCAGACATTCTATCCCTGACTAGCGTTATATATTACTTATATCAGTATAAGTAGCACACACCGAACTCAAGCCTAGAAGATCGACATTACATTATTTGTGTACCTTACCAAAAATATACAAAGCTAGTTTCCTTATTCGATCAATATCGCCAATCGTTAATTCTCAGTTTGAAAAACTTGTCCGATGGTAAAGGAAACACTTAGAATATCTTTGGTAAAAGATAGTTGTTCATAATTTGAAAGACACCTTTCAAGTTTTCCCCAAATAAAGAAAAAAAGTCAGGATGATAGCTTTATTGGTTTTACGGTACAAAGTATGCACACTTTTCTGAAATAGCTAACACTTATTTCTAGGTTGTAGGCAGTTGAAGATAGTTCAAAAAATGAATGAATCCACATTATTATGTTACTGCCATTGTTCTAGCTTCATTCAAATTTATAAATGGGAAAAATCGTAGTGTTACATTATGTTATGACTTGACCTAGCTGTCGCCAATTTGTTATGTTTTTGACCTAGGTGGTAACCAATTGTTATGACTTGATCAAGGTCATCGCTGATTCGTTATGACCTTACGAATTTAACAAGGACGTAATTCGCGTAAATTATCCACCAATAGAATATGCCTTCTACGACCTTCACACTGTGACAATGACGTTCGATTAGTATGAGTAATCTAGCGTCCTTATTGGTCCTTATCCGCCTAACCCGTCCACTTGAGTCCAAAAACACCAATAGCAGCTGCTGTAATGCGAATCGTTTATTTCAAACATACTTTATCTATATATCAGACAGGCAGACCACACCACACCATAAAATAGAAAATAATATTTGTACAAAACCAGGCCAAATGAGGCTGTAAGCGTGGGAGACAATAATCAATAAACTGAGTATAACTTAGGAACAGTAAATCATACAATAATAATCAATAGGTCAAAATGAAGCTTACAATAAAATGAATATAGATATAGATTATCTAGTTACCGAATAGTTATACAATAAGAATGATAGTCCAATAGTAGGTCCTGCAAGTTACCCGTACTTATGTCTTCGCTACTACATAACACATTAGATGTAAATATGGGTGGTATGTGGTTAAGTAATTTAGCAATTTCACTTAATGGAAATCCTGACTCATACTTAATACATTCATGCGCAGATTAATTATAAGCATTATCATTAAAGTTTCTATAGTTCAGCCTTCTACACAATATTTCCTTTAATTCAGTTCTGTCACTCAGAATTTCATGGGAACTTATCAGTAACAGAACCCAATCATATCATAGCATTTACAAAAATTTATTATAGTACACCTTATATCTCTAAAATATTTTTATCTAGATGATTTCCCTCGTTTTTATTTTCACAGCACCAGCAGAACTGTAGAAAGGAATTGAAGGTGACGACACCAAACTAAGTAAACACTTTGGAAATCTTATGAACAGTTTTTATGAATACATATTTCTATTTTATAATCTCACCTTACTGAAACTGAATCACTGATACGTGAAATTTCAAGCTTTATTATATATCTTTTAACTACCTTCATTATTAAAGAATATTAATTGGAATATTATAGAATTTAAAATAAATTTTCCGATACAACAAAAAATGGATGTTGACACTTCCAGACGATAACCATGATAGTTTAATATCCTCGCACTAAGGTATGGCTAGTTCTGGATCTTAGAGTAGAAAAATTACTCAGCAATGAGAAATTACAACTTCATATTTCAAATTTAGCCGCTTTTGGAGTCATTAAGTGATTATTATCAAATGCTGACCAATCGCTGCTTGGCACAAAACTCCTTTCTCCGATAAAAACTGAGAACCCACCTGCTAAATCGTTAGTTATTGAATAGTTTCTGTTAAGTCAACTACTGATTTATTAATTCCCACGTTTTTCATGTGACGTAAACTACCTAACGATAATGAACAAGCTTAGTTGTGTCTAATCATTTTAACGACACCTAGAACTGAATAATCATATTTCGATACAAAATTGTTTATAAGGAGTGCAAGATTCTAGGTTGGGACGAAACTAGAATGTGAAAATTCTCAAAAGTGATAGCGATGTAAGGTGTCTAGTAAGTCAGTCATTCACAACGTAGAACTTCGTACGTACGTACATCAGTTCGAGTTGCTATACCACATTAGCACAGAGATGAAGTTGTCGATTCAAATCCCGTAGTGGTAGAAGTAGTAAGAGTATAAGTATTATGTGAAAGATTAGGGTTTGAAAATGTTATTCAAGGAGTATAATCCAGTGAAATAAATTTAGAAAGAGAAAAAAGATAGAGACGTGAAGAATTCAGAAGATGAGAATTGGGGAGAATACAAAGAGTGGATGCACCTTCGCCATTGCAAACGACTTTGAGCCATGTCATTCAAGGTCTCTAACCATCGGTTGCTATCATCTCGCGAATCCCAACCAGGTAGTTTACACCTACCAACATGGCTCAGTCCACTTGTCAGCGACGTCATGGATTTATGCCACGTTTTGGTTTGGCCGCCCCCAGCTTTCATCCAACCTACTTCTACACCATAAAGCATTGCACGTTGGGGCAGTCGGTGGTTGGGCGTACGTAACACATGTCCCAGCCATCTTAACTGATGAAGTTTCACTACTTCATCAATCGATTTGCCATCCTTACCTAGTACCCGTTTCCTAACATCTGCATTACTTACCCGGTGGTCCCAGGATATATGAGCAATGCTTCGAAGACACGTATGATCGAATACTAGTAGCCTACAAATATCCTCTACTCTTATCGGCCATGTTTCACTGCCATAAAGTAGGACGGAACGAACTGCTGCACAGTAAACCCGTCCTTTGGTTTCTAGACGGATATCTCGCCTACGCCATAAAGACGCAAGTTGGCGAAAACCAGACGAGCCTTTTGTATCCGTGCTGGGATTTCGTCACACACCAGACCACAAGGGCTGATGAGACTCCCAAGATAAGTGAAGCTGTCAACACGCTCAACTCCTTCACTCCCTATCATTAGTTCAGGTGCCGATGCAACTCAATCCTGAAGTAACATTTTGCATTTCGAGGGAGAGATTCGCATTCCGAACATGCCTGAATAGTTGCTTATAGTGGTCAGAAGACTCTGCATGTTGCCAGCGTCTTCACCGAATAAAACTATGTCGTCGGCGTATTCCAAGTCAACAAGTGAGCCTCCCAGTAGAAGTTCAACTCCTGGAGATTGAGATGAAAGTGTTATCTCTAAAAGCGTGTCAACGACAAAGTTTAACAAGAATGGAGAGTGGACAGCCCTGACGAACACCACTTGAGGTAACCAATTCTGATGTTAACTCGCCATAGGCTCTAACTCGACCAGTTATGTTCGAGTAGAGAGCCTTTATGAGGTTAATGTACTTCTTTGGTACTCCTTTCAGTGACAAACACTGCCATGGAACCTGACGATCAGCTGAGTCAAACGCCGCCTTAAGGTCGAGAAATACTGATTGTGGGACGTCTGAATGTATGTCTATGTTCTAGGACCTGACGTAGAGTGAATATCTGGTCTATGCAACCACGTCCAGGTCGGAAACCAGCCTGGTTTTCTCTAGTCTGCTCTTCACGTGCTTTGTTTAGACGTCCAAGTACTATTGTAGCTAATATTTTAGATACGATATTAGTCAAACTGATACCTCTGTGATTGTCACAGGACTTTTATCCTTTCTTATGGACTGGCACAATTAGTGATTGGGACCAGTCAGATGGAATTACGTCCAGTTCCCAGATTCTACCTAAGACCTCAGTCAATCTCACTGCTAGTACTGGGCCACCATCCTTAAAAATCTCAGGAGTAAACCTGTCAGGGCCTGCTGCTCTCCCTTGCTTCAGATTTCCTATAGCTTTTTCAACCTCGTAGAGAGTTGGAAAACTTACCTCGATTTGCCATTCAGGACGACTGGGGATCGTGGGTAACTGAAGTGTGGCTGAAGGCCAGTTGAGCTGATCCCTAAAGTGTTCTGCCCATCGATCCAATCTCCTGGATTGAGAATGAAGTGTCCATCTTTGTCTGAGATAGTTTCGCTAATAGTTGGGTTCCTAATGCCGCTTTCTTTAATGAGGAGGACTTACATAGAGTAAAAAATGGATCAATTACCAACTAAATGGAAAACCGCAGTCTCACATGGCAGTACGTTGACGAACTAATCAAAAACAATAACTAATACTCCGGTAATAAAGTACTCTTCGGGATGATGAATTTCTGTACTCTTTGTCATCTCATCAAAACACTACTTATTTGGCCATTTCTTACTCTTGATGATGAACTTCACTTGAATTTCAAATCGGCGTTCAGCCGTCTGTGGCCACTGAAAGTAAATGTGATTAGTCGCTGAGCATGAACTGATAAACACAACTTACTAATTAATTTGATTTCATCTCTGAACGCACTAAGTGCGGACTACTTGTAATCCCATTGAAACAAGTACTGCTCAAACTATTCCCTATGCCTCTATTATAGAGTTGTGAAGTGCGTAGCCAGCATAACGCGATCCGGTCCGTATATCGCACCTACCGAGTATCTAGCCTGAATCTGTCACAGTTCAAATTGTCGTATAGTAGTAGCACCTCGTAGCAAGAAAATACAATCCCCATTCTCCAGCTATATCAGCAACCCTAGCTTTTTTCCAACTTTCGCAAGTCGAGATAATCAATAATGTTAGAGAGCCTGTACAACGTTAATGTACTATTTGGTAGGCCTTCAAACGTAAGTTAATACCAGAAAACCTGTCGATCTATGGAGTCGGCTGCTGACTTAAGGTCGATAAATGCAAATGGTTGAGAATCAGTAGTCATGTATGTTTCAGAACATTGTGAAGGGTGAACATTCGGTCTACATATCCATGTCCAGAATTCAAACTAACCTAATTTTCCCAAGCATGCTCTTCACTTGATCTAGTTAGACGTTGGATCATTATTAAGGGCAACTCTTGAGACATTATATTAATCAAACTGACTATTGTTCCCCCTTAGAGGCTGGGATGGTAAGAGATCGAGACCAATCAGACGGCATCACTTCATTCCCAGACTCCAGCTACCTAACTCAGTTTAAATTTTAAAAAGAGTTTATGTTTAAATACTATTCAGATTGTCTGGTAAAAGTAGACAACTTAAAGTAACTTGTTTACACTTTAACTGTTTCACACCATTCGAGGTTAAAAAAATTTAAATATATGTGGGGTGCACATAGTGAAACTATGTGCATTAGTTAAGAAGTGCTATGTGAAGTGAATTGTCATTATGAACTATGAAACAAATCTTCATAAGTAAAATGGACATGTAAGAGCGAACCCTAGTTTTTTAGTCCTAAGTAATGGGTCAAAGATATAAATATCAAAGTTAGGACGATTTTATCATTGCAACCAAAATAGTAACAATATGACGGTGCATGAAAACAAAGGTTTAGACCCCAAAACAATGAAGCTAGTCAATGAAAAGAAGTCAACAAGAAACAAATTTTATCAGATTACATAGATCGGGCTATTGATGTAACAAGTATATAAATGAATTCAAAATAATCACAAATAAGCAAAACGTAACAAAGATGAACCTAATTTAGAAACACTTAGATACAATTAGAACCACTTTGTGAAAGCTATACGATTGAAAATTAGTAACGGACACCCCAATGAGGTCTAGTTGATGGTCTTTGATTAGGTTGCATAAACCGGTCGTTTGTAAACTGTTGTTGTTGATATGGATATCCACCAAAATTTGGTGCACCATATGAATTCCATGATGATCCATTAAAATTATTTCCTGCACCATTAGGACCAAATGATCTCCCACCCATGTAGTTCCCAGAAAATCGGTTGACAGGTACTTGATCATATCGCTGATTTGAAAATTGTGGATAAGGATCTTGCCAAAGACCACATTGAATATCGTGCACCTGTTCTGAGTCAGTAGAACGATTAGGACAATTAGTATAGCGCCCAAAACCTTGTTTTTCTGAGTACAAATTTTCACATCCTTTGTTTCGATGCGACCGACCAGAGAGTAACGGGTAATTACTGGATGTAGCGAACCTTTTTCTGGGCGGAGAATCGAAGTTATTTGCTTCATCAAAACCAACATTTTGTTTTAATGCTTCTGGCGAACATAGTTGACGCAACACATTAATAACACGCTGATCTTCTTCTCGAAGATCGGCAACAGCTTCTGGTCGTAAGCAAGTTCGGACAAGTAATGCCTCCAATGCTGGACGAAAAGCGAAAATTCGGGCAGCAGTCATGAAGTTCATACGGAAAGGAATCCAATCATCAATAACAACTATTCCTATATCACTAGAATCATCAGATCTCCAGATAGCAGAGCGGCAGCCAAAAAGCATTAACTGAATTGGATGTACCATTGTAAGACCTTTACACGAAACGGCCTGGGTACGAATCTAAAGTATAAAAGCATAATATAACATAACATCGTCATGTAACTTTATAATAACTAGACTAAATGTTTACTCCCGTACATTAAAATATAGCAGTTCTTCAAAAGTATGATTCCTAATAGAGTAAATAAATTACGAACGTTTTTTGTTATCTTAATATATAATTATTCTATTAAAAACCTGTTGAATAATTATTTAACATTTGAGAACACTTACTTTTTCATCGAAAACAAAAAAGGGATAATTGAACTTGATGTCCTTCATGCAATTGACAGAACTTTTGTGTATAAGTGCTAAAGTACCCTCAGTTGTGAGTAATTTGCGCTTATCTGAATGAAAACAGATATTTGGATACAATCCAGACACAAGTAAAGTACTAAGTATATCGCAATCAATATTGTGTTTCAAATTGAAATTAACTGGTGCATCAGACAATGATTCTTCCGGGAAACCTAAGTTGATGAGAATAGCTCTAAGCTAAAAAAGTGATAGAAATAAAATAATATCAAATGTCATCAAGTCATGCACACAACAGAATACATAAAATAATCTGAATGAATAACAGTACTAATTGGTTTACAAACATTTTGGTTTTCTTAGCACCCAAACACAAAGATCGATAAATGCAGCACAAAAAATCAGCAAATAATGTATTTATGCACCTAATCTAGGAGCTATTAGAGACACACTACGGTCGGAATCAGATGACACTTACCAAGAAACTTTGAAACTTAGCATAGCCAATCAAGGTTAGAAATCAAACAATAAAATTAGTCAATTTGATTAATAAAAATCGTTAGAGCAAACCAAGCTATGTGAAAACAGTTGCAGTAAAGAAGTTATGAGGAGATACAGGTTAAGTAATCATTAACTTTGTAAACGATTGTGATATACCAAGTAGGCTTAACCGGAATTAGGTTAGAATCCCACAGATCTATCTTACGGACATACAATTGATCGAATAGTTAATGGTGACAGTAAGACCTTGTGTACGGCCTCCTGTGGAATCGAGATTGTGTAGCACTATCTGAAGCTAGCATAGAACAGATTTTCAGTGTTTTTTGATTTATAGCAGTTTTTCAATTAATGTTTAATCATAGTGAAGACTTTACGGAGGTAAAATGAAAACGTTTACATCCTTCCAACAGAAATATGGCATAACGGATCACGAGTTGTTCAAATTTATTATTAATTTTCATTTCTACTACGCTTCGAACAGCTTGACAATATCAAAACAAACTCATAATGCTGAGTTCACAATAAAGTGGGTGAAAAATTCAGTCAGGCAGTAATTTGTTAAAACTGGTTATGTAGGTAATATAGGCTGTCAAACCAAGTTGGACTTTCTTATCACTGCGTTTATTTAGCAATAGATTAAACACAAACAAATAAATAGATAGCCGCTTTTAAGTGGTCTAGTCGTTTATTGCAATTTTCCTGTAAGAAAGAATATATTGTTGCATATGATTAGTTTTAGCCAAAACCAAACGAGTGTCCAATTAGATTTTACTTTAAATAAACACATTACTCTGATTCAATTTAATCATGATGCAGGCTTTCGTTTCGGACCTACCGTTATCGAAGAAGACCAGATATTCAGTGTAAGTTCCACAATAAGTTATTATCAAAATTAACACAACTGTGAGATCCAGTTATCATAACTGTTTCACTCATGAGTATCCAGTTCCTTATTGCATAGTTCCTTTTATTTATGTCAATCGCTACTTGTAAACTGACTGTTCTCTTATTGGTTGATACATTCATTATGATTTACTGAACTGGTTACTTTTTTTACTTTTCTGCGGTGAGTTGACCGTTGTTATTGAGTTTGTCAGCTTGAATATGAGATTGTAATCTACGTAAACTATTATTTACTGTAGAACCATTCATTGATTCATGTATAAATATTACGCGAAGTTAAAAGTCTTCTGACTTGAACCGAAATCAAGTGAGTGATTCCGGTGATCACGTTTACAGTATGGAATAATAAACCATATTTCATAAAACTAAAAAATAGTCTGTCCTATGGAAACAATGATACATAAATTGCTGCCGAGAACCGTAAAAACAGATGGAATGTGGTTTTGACAAAGAAGATACAAGACTGTTTAGTCTTTAATGAAGATATACTTCGGAGTCTGTACTAACGACTGACTTAAAAAGGGAAAATCTAGGGACAAAATCTTATAGAGCTATAATTAGAGTTGCCGATTCGCTTTATGAATAAAACATCTGTCGGAGATTTCTATAATATGGTTATAGATTTAAAGTGACTTCCATACAGGTTAGGTTTATTAGTCACCAGGATTCTACCGATTGAAGGCTTTGTGGTTAAATCACATGACTTTCAAACAATTTGTCATGTGTTTGAACCCCACCAGAGTGGTAGTATTACTAGTCATATATATATATTAAGTTGAGCTAAAAAAAGTAGTAACGCCATTGACACAAATCGCTAGGTGATAAAAAGCAGTGTTTAAGGAAAGTTAAATGTATGTCAAAAATTACTTCACAAGACCATAAAGAAGAAAACGAGGAGAAATACTAGGCATGCATACTTGGTTTGCAGCATCATCAATAACTCTTAATGCAGAGCTATTGAAACCATGTTGATCGCAAAATAAGTCCGCTGACTCATCACCTCGACGGGTACGTTCAGTTGTCCACTCTTGAAAAACATTCAAACCAGCCAGATGATCACTTGAGTAACCAGCTGCAAATGACCGTTGCTGATTTGTGAGTCTCCGATGATCCGGAGGCAATAAAAATGGGTCACATCCAAGACTCGCAGTAGACGTGAGAACAGCAGCTGCCCCACCCAGATTGAAGACACAAGCAAATATCAACATTTTCCCCAAACGTGGCTCGATTGGAAGTCGAGCAAGTATAAATCCCAGAGGAGTTAGTTCATCATTTTTGTCCAACGCCTTCATCTCTGATTGTTATTAGAGAAAAAAATGTAACATTTATTTTCAGAAAAAATTAGCTTTGGCAAACGATATACAACTACCGGGGCATTAAGTTCGACAATTGTTTTATATGTGACCTGGGCAGCTGGATGGAATCAGTAGTATTGTAGTGAGCAGAACACTGGTTGGGGACAATCGAATGTATTTAAGCAAACATTACAGACTATCTCAGTAAATTCTGAAAACCATACAATGGACAGTCAATTTGCAAATTAACAACCAATAGTCTCAATCTTCACTGTTTCTTCTCTAATTCCATTGTTCGTACATTTTCCTACCGATTGCGCTTTGTTTCAGTTCTTTCCTCATTGGTCTTCTGCGAAAATACAATCTATGTCTGACCAACACCATATACTACTTATATGGATATAAGTAGACCACACCACAGTATGACTATGATCTCTAAACTCCATAATTATTACTTCTGATTTCGTTACAATTAGAAATCGTCCGAAAAATATGTTTTTAACTTTTTCACTACACATCACAGTTATTTACACTGGAAAAAGGGTTTGAAAGCCTTTACTTGTGGCTAAAAACGGTCATGTTCAAAGTAGCACGAGTCAAAACTACTCAGTATGAATACATGTTCATCTCATCATGAAAAATCTTAATGAAGCCAACTTCAAGATCATAACAAGGAGATCATTTAAAACTAACTCCCGAATATATGCCATACCAATAAGCCTTTTATAAATGGAATAAATCCCCTTTATTGACATACCATAAAATTTAAAACATTTTACAGTCAGTAAACTACAATGAAAATATCAGCTTATGACTCATTGAATTTTGTGCTTAATATACTAAACAATTTCCGAATACCTTGCAGTTAGTTTGTTAACTTTTTACAAACATATCATGTGACATATGACAAATTACAAAAATAATCGCAATAAAATAAATATACAACTCGGTAACAGCTTACCTTTCAATGTATGCTCTGCTTCAATAACTGCGTCGAGTGGTGGTGGTTGTAAAGCCTTCATTAAAAAGTCTCTAACAGAACCAAGACGCAAAAGCTTTATGAGTAATGCCAGTTCGTGTAACGGAGTACGCAGAATCTCCGGGGTAGCATGTTGTTCTAAACGATCAAAGCGAGCACGACTGAAAATGAAAGCAATGTTACAATTAAATTACAAAGTTAACTAACAAAAATGTTTGTGCAAACAAATTTTCGATAAATAATATTAACCCCATTGTCTGTCATGCAAATAGTATATGTAAGTTCTATAAAAACTTCATTATGCATTAAGATGAACTGATCATCGCATTAGGCTTAAGAATAAGTAAAGCACCTTACTTACCTACAAAGATGAAAAGCAAATCCTGGACGAACTCGACCAGCTCTGCCTCGCCGTTGTTCCAGATTTGTTTTGCTTGACCATGAAGTAGAATATGACGTCAAATTGTTACGAGCAGTGAAAAGCTTCGTGCGTGATAAACAAAAATCGATCACAAAGACAACATCATTGATTGTGATAGATGATTCAGCTATGTTAGTTGCCAACACAATTTTTCTAACACCAGAAGGAGTGGAACGAAAAACTAGGCGTTGGTCTTCCCTAGGAATCTGAGAATGTAGCGGCAGGATAACATAGTTTGGACTTCCATATCTTGAATGTGACTGTAAATATTTTCGCAAAAGACTAATGATATTCCAACCAGGAAGGAAGATAAGAACAGCTCCGGGAATATTCATACCTATGATCTTATCCAAAAGTGCACCAACAAGTTCAAAAGGAACTTCCTTCTCGGTTATTTCGCCCATGGAACGAACCACTGCCTCCCCATAAACAGGATCACACTTCAAGTTGCAGTTTTCTTCAGCGTTATCTGTCACACTTTCTAACTCTTGGCGGCGCTTCCGTTTTTTCTCATCAACGGGGGGAGGGACGAAATTAACCATCTTTATACAGTCTTCTAGAAAGTAATCTGAAGGTGGAAATATGAACAACCTGGACATAACAATACAGTACTATGTGGAGAAAATGATTATAATAGAAAGCTGTGTAATGAAATATAGGACATATAAATGCTAAAATATGTTAGTATTCTTAGTCATGACTATATATATATAATTTCCCTTCGTCTCCACCAACTTTGTGTAATGCAGAACTGCGTTGGTAGGATTTCTAAACTACTTTACAATACCTTTTGGCAAGAAATTGAGAAAGTTCACACGAAGAAAACCAATGTGATTATCTCAATCATCACTTAGGCAATGAGAAACTATTGGGTGATATTTTACTTCAGAAGAGAAAGGACGACATTCTGGATGACTGTAGAACTTTTTTTGCACTTGAGTAGTTGATCAACCATCTACTGGCAGAAGTTTCACTCAAGTAGTCTACCCAAAAGTATATTTCAGGATAACAATTACCAAAGACTAGATCACAGCACCTTTTGGCAAGGAGTAAGCTAATAAGTAATTCCATGCAACCTAAGATAAAGCTGCAACTTACCTGAGACAAAACGCTACTTTTTACTGCTGTAGTTTCCCTGCTTATTCGTTCCTTTAAATCTTAGTTTGTGTCTGTATTAGGTATGTTAGATCCTGGGAAATCACTTCGTAAACGTTGTTTTTGTGATTTTATTTTGGAAGTTTGAATTTCTCATTTTCGCCCCAAAAGCGTCCATTTTTACTTCCAGATTGTATTTCCCACTTAGAAGGACCTTAAGTGTCATTGGTTCGTTCCCCGTTTTAATATGCCATTTTGGGGGCACCCCGTAAGGACATTTTTATACTGTGCATATACACTTGAGTTGCACACTTGTTGGTCACGTGCTTCTGACTGTTTGTGGAATATACCTCTCCCTAGGTTGATTCTAGTTTTCTTCTAGTTAGCAGGGATGGGGAGCAATGAATAGTTTAGCTTTTCCTGTTGTCGTGTTGTTGACTTTGGTTCCGTTTGCCGGCTATATGAATCGTAATCTCTTTAAACGTAGCAGACTGAGGCTAAATATACAATAGTGTGGCGCATATATATATATATATATATATATATATATATATATATCTGGTGCCCCCTTGCATCAATATTTGTGTTTAAAAAATGAATATACAATACCAGGTTTCAAATTACCGCGATAGATTTAAAAAAAGAAACACGCATTTACTTACACTCAACAGGGTGTGTACGACCCTCGATATCCAAAACCGTACAGTCTCCAAAGTACTCGCTGAACATAGTTATGTCAATGGTAGCAGACATAAGAACAAGTCGGAGATTTCTGTTTGCTCTTACCATTTCGCGCAGTAGTATTAGCATGAAATCTGTATTAACGTCTCTCTCATGTATTTCATCAACAATGACATGAGACACTCCTCGAAGACCTCCTTCCATTTTGCGTGCCATTGTCCCAACAGTGCAAAACAAGATAGACCCGTACGGACGAGGATAAACGGTCTCAAAACGAACACAATATCCAACAGAAGTCCCTACAGTTTCGCCTCTCTCGTAAGCGATGCGCTCAGCAAGGCTTATAGCAGATATACGTCGTGGTTGTGTTACCAGAATAGAGCATTCAGCACCTATTCCCGATTCCAAATACGAGTCCAGAATGAACTGCGGAATCTAAAATTATGAATAGGCATATAAATAAAAAGAACAAACATGTTCATGTTTACCATATATGTAATGTAAACATGCAACGAATTTACATAAGATCAAACAAACCTGAGTGGTTTTGCCGCATCCGGTTTCGCCACGAATAATTGTCACTTTATTCCGTCTAACGGTTTCTAGTATTGAAACCCTGTAAGGATTCACGGGTAACTGAGCACGTTCATCCATCAATGACCGCAACTGAGGGTCGCTATCAAGTCGACGTAACCGTTCATCAGCCAAATTAGCGCTAATATGAGATAATGGTTGAGTAGCCTTGAAAAGACAAATGATATTTTTAAAGATAAAACTAAATAGCAAAAATATGAGTCAGTCAAAAGATATAAATAATACACATAGGCAATTTTCATCCAGTTTAATTCACTGCGTAAACAAAAAGCAAAACAATGCCACTACAGTTTGCGATCCTTAACATATGTATGATAATGTTAATTTCTTCGTATTATTTAGCGCGGAATTTATCACAGGTTTTCTACAAACAATTTATGAACAAATGATGTCCTTGATTTACGTTTATATCAAGATTTTTTAGATGACACTTTAAAGTAAATCAGCATTTTTTAACTATGAAATCTGACAGAAAAATAATATAATTTACAAACTAAAATTGCAATTAAATACACACACTGTACATTATGTTATGAAATATACACTTAAATTCCAAGAAATTAGATAGCAAGTAACTTGTGGGATTATATTTATTTATTTATTTAAACACATAAATATTGGTACAAAAAAGCACCAGATAAATATGCGCCACACAAATCTCATTTGATTTGTGTGAGAACTGTGATACTGCTCGGGTGCCCAGATTGAAGCAGGTGGTCTTCTTAAGGGGCCAAACCCCAAGACTTTGACCTAAAGGTCTGATCCACAAGGCAGTGGGGCATCGTGAGGAGATGTAGTCCCAACGACTAATTCATAGGCCATTTGTTCCCTCAGGATCCTGGAGCCCATGTGCACCATTTGTGTGGAATCAAGGTTTTCTAACTTCCCTAGGTGGACTTTCCGTGTCCACCAACCTGGTTAAAGCGCCGGACGTTCGCTTTTCGTCTTCTCAATTTCGTGAACAACACCCCCGGCACGAGAAAGCAGTGAGTAGGACTTCCCTGTCAGAGGCTATATACGTGTGGCCATGTGAGAGCATTTGGAGAGAGCGAACTCTCCCCTCTCGGCCGTACCAGGGCATTTGGAGATCAAACAATATAACGTATATTAAGACTACACTGTTAGACAAAATTTCATATCCTTCGAACTTGTGGGATATATATATATATATATATATATATATATATATGTTTATTAGGGAAGTAAAAATAATTGACTGTATTTCCAAAGAACCCAGGAGGATTGATAAAAAGACTAAATATCAATAAATAGTTAGCAGAAGCTAGAACCACTGCATATATAAATCTTATTTAGTAACTTAGAGCACGTAGTAGGAGTCCTATTTAACTCATTTTTATCACAGCTGGAACTGTATCAAGTCTAGAATTATTTATTCCAAGCTTTTAAGCTATTGAGGAGCGTGCAAAGGTGTAACTCAATAGTTTAAACATTCGACCCTCAATAATCAGATTTCAAGTTCCAGCTTTGCTCCACATATTCCATTCAAGACGATCAGGGAATGCTAACTAACTTCGCAATAAGTTTAGCGCTCAGTGTATTAAATACACTTAATACCGTTAAGTGATTAACAAATGCCCCCAAATGCCCTGGTACGGCCGAGAGTGGGGAGAGTCTACTCTCCCTCTCGAAATGCTCTCACATGGCCAGCGAATATATAGCCTGTGACAGGGAAGTCCTACTCACTGCCTTCTCGTGGCATTACTGTTGTTTACGAAAGTGAGAGGACGAAAAGCGAATGTCCGGCGCTATAACCGGATTGGTGGACACGGAGGGTCCACCTAGGGGAGTTGGAAAACCCTGATTCCAAACCAACGGTGCACATGGGCTCCAGTATCCTGATGGAACGAATGGCGGACGAACCTGTCATTGGTCAACGGCTACCATGGGACTGCATCTCCTCACGATGCTCCACTGCCTTGTGGATCAGACATTCAGGTCCATGTCTCCGGGTGTGGCCCCCTAAGAAAACCACCTGCTTGAGTTCGGGCACCTGGGCAGTATCACAGCCCTCACACAAATCGAATGAGATTTGTGAGGCGCATATTTATCTGGTGCTTCATTGTACCAATATTTATGTGTTTAAATAAATAAATAAATAATCCTTGAGAACGATGGTTTTTAGTTGAGTCGATTTGAACGACCGACTGATAACCGGTCGGTTTCTTAAAGCTATCCTGATAGACGGAATGCTGACAAGCATATATCATATTATTTTCAGTATAACCAATAATCGCTTATGAAAACCTACCTCTGGACCTTCATCGATATTACAAGCAGTCCATGGATTCCAGTTGGGGAATGGTGGACACCAAGCAACCAGCTGGGGTTGTTGTTTAGGAGCATCACCAAAGTCTACCAAGTTGTAATTGGTAATCATATTATAAGCTTGATCTGGTGGGAGATTTGTAGGTTTCAAATTAACGGGAAGACCCAAATTCTCCAATACATCGGTTAGATTTTCTTCAACTTTTGAATTCAAATTAACATCATGCACTGCAACCTTAATATAGATATAAACAGTTAAAATGTTTTATTTCATTGGTGAGCCACGGAAAACGCAAAACAGGAAAAGTGCCATCAATGGTTTGTCTCCATTAAATAATTAAACGGTGCAACATGAATCAAAGACGAAACCAAGTTTATGAAAGCTAGAATTGTAAAAACTAGATTTCTGGACTGTTATGATCTCTTATTACGACCCAAACGAACAAGATTGGATGGGATTAAGAATCACAAGAAAAACGTTAGTAAACTTGGAATTCTAGAGTCTTCTCTAATTAGTCGTTAGTGCTGATTTGCTAAAAAAAAAATGGCCAATCAGCTTGCTCCAACAAACTCCTACAAGGAACATGTGCAGATTAAATCTATATCCAGCTAACAGGGACGTTTAGATAGGTTAAGATTTCAATTTTTAACGAACTTGTTTTTCACTGTATTTTGTTATATGTATTACTCACCTCTACCACTTATGGGTTATTTCCTTGACACTACTGACGCCATCTGGAAGTATGTTCTAGATAAGACTACGTAACAAAAGAAGTGGAATCTGTACATTACTCCATAAATCAAGTATAACGCTCTAAAACCAAGTACTATATGCATCAACTCTATTAATCAAACCTGAGATTGGGAATCTAGTTTTCAAAAGTAAATAATTTCATGACCTTTGACCGAGTGGGAAACTATGAGAGAATTAGAGCAGAAATTTATCATAATTTCTAAATATACTTTGAACAGAACAATTGTACTCAGTAGTCGGGCACGTTGGGTAACTCAGTTCAAAATTGATCAGCGACAATGACGCATATACTCATTATCTTCGCGTCTTGAGTATCAGTAACATTTCATAATTCCTATTCATCGAATTCATTCATTATTTTGACACCACATTCTTCAATGTTTAATCGTTCTCATTACCACTGACACTAGTATTGTTTTAACCATATTTCACCGTTTATCTGACTTAACCCTATAACTAGCGAATTGTGAGAATTAAAAACCATTAGGAAGACAGTCTGCTAACATAACTTTCATAAACATAAACATCTTAGGTAAGACTTCACCCTGCTGCATAACAGGGAATAAGAAACAGCTTTACGTAAACTTACCTCACTGTGCTTCTTTTTCCGTTTTTCGCCAGTATATGCTTCCAATTCTCCTGCATGAAAGAGCTGCCGGACTAGCGATAGGCAGCAAGCACGAGATGCTAGCTGTTTGTTTGATCCCGCCTCTCGAGCGTACAGAGTTTTCCGAAGATTTTTCGCCAAGACAGTCATCTCTGCTATGTAACTCCTATAAGCATTTTAAACAGTTAATTCAAATTAATGTGTTTGTTTGGACATTATAAAAGAAATTTTATACGAATTTGGAGTAACTAATTTAGCATAATTACGTGAATTATCCTGTAGTAATAGGAACTTACCTACCACGACTGAACTTGCAGTTGAACGATGATTACGAAGGCCATGAATATAAGCTGTAAACAAATGAATGTATCATTTTATTAGCACTCAGAGCCAACTGATCGCCAAGACCACTCAATTCGTTAAAATATAAGCGAAATTGAGTGGAGAAGCGATCAGGGCACTGAATGCTCCTTATGTCACCCAGCGTTCCTGTCCGCCTGGCCACTGTGTATAAATATGTCACTAGTGTCATAACTGCGAGCCAATATATCAACTTAATACATTTACACAAAGAGCACCATAAGGCGCTGTCTCACCTGCTATGATCTGGACCGACCGAAGTATATTTCACTTGGCCCACTTGCTGGCGAGTTGCCTGTAAGTATTCATTTAGACGTGCCTTGGCGTTTTCCATAGACCAACCACCATGCAAATCAGAAGTTAAGTCCACCTCTTCTGCCTTAGTACAATGAATATAAGTTATACAAACAGTACCTCTTCCAACTTCTTTTGGTCGTATATGCTACTGATGTAGCTACCGCCAGAACCTAACGAATTCCCTTGTTGTTGAAGACTTTGCCCGAAGTTTTCTGATGTAGATGTGCTTGCAGGTTCCGAATATATTACATTCCCAGGCTGTTAACTTAGAAACAAACATGTAACATACTTGTATCGCTGGAACTGAAGATGCAGGGATTTCGCCTTCACGAACAAGGTAGTTAACAAAGTCTCTAGCTGCATTTGTTTGGGCTTCTTTTTTCGTTGTAGAATTTCCTATTCCAACGTAATTGAAGCCATCAGCCCGAGCCTATAACTAGGTCCACAGAGAGAGAAATGGACTTACCTCACAAAGAAACCTAACCTTATTCCGACCGACAGGCTTCTCTATGAAAGTATACTCTGGTGCTATGCGTTTCTTAGTTTGCAAGAAAGTGTACAGAAATGACTTAATCCCCTCAGGATCACACATGGACGATAATTGTTGAGATCTGAAAAATGAGAAGCATATTTTCATGTATAAATATTGACGAAAAACAAGAATGCAACTTGAGTCCAATATTTTTTAAAAATTTCCTAGAAAAATTACAAATGTAAACGTGTTGATATATGGTACAACACAATGGCATGCAGTTAGCCAAACAAAATTAACGGCAAAGTCTCGATCTCGCAAAATGTGGGTATATTGAAACACTGGATTTTTTATCTACACAGAATGAAAATGAGCAGGAACGCAGTACTATGGGAACAGTTTAACTTTATTAATCACTTATTAGATGTGTGGAGGGAATTTTAAGTGCCGAGGCAGAAGACAGTAGTTTCATGATGAATTCAGGTTGATGTGCATTAATATGTAGTCAGTGATGAATCCTACAATATTCACATGTAAAGGAGACTTTCGGTGTTTATGAGACTTGTTCCGAACATTTATGGACTTGATACGAGTATGCAGATACACTTCCAAATGTCTTACATGTAAAGGAGGAACAGATATTCAGTCATGGGTATTTAGTAGTCTTAATTATACCGCCCCTTTGTGAAGAATTATCTATTTATCTAAATACAAACTAGTATAAGGAAACAGCAAATATGTGGGTGCCACACTTCGTCAGTCGATTTGTGGGGGGGAGCTGGAATATTGCTCAGGTGTAAAAACTAAGACAAGTGGTTTTCTCAGGGGGCCAGTCCCGAGCCTTTGACCTACAGGTCTAACCCACAAGGCAGTGGAGCAATGTTAGGAAACACAGTCCCACAGTAGCCGGTGACCAACAATAGGTTCATACGTCATTTGACCCCTCGGAATTCTGTAGTCTAAGTGCCCCATTTGTTTGGAATCATTGTTCTCGATCTCCCCTAGGTGAATACTCCATACCCAGCAACCCAGTTAAAGCGTTGACCATCCACTTTTTGTTCGTTTAACTTCGTAAACATCACCCCGCCGCGAGGAGGCAGACTAGGGCTCCCCTGGCAGCGTCTGTATATGTGTGGCCATGTTAAGGCCTTTCGACAGAGGAAGCAGACTCTCCCCACCCGTCGTACCGGGACATTTTGGGACCATGGGTAATCGCGAATGTAAGCATGTTAAAATAACATCGAAAAGGTCAGAAGCACAGGTAATAGTTGGTGCACAGTCAATAGATCAGCCCTTTTATTGTTCAGTTTGAAGATTACCATTGAGTATGCTAAGTAGATTGGTCAAATTAAGGAATGCTAACAACTTGAATCGCTTATACATCATTTCGAAAAAATTAGAATTGATGTGTAGCTAAACAGAAAGAAGCTGTGATTAAAAAATGACCTGTATTACAAAACGGAAGTGTTTATGGCTTTTAAAACATTACTGAACTAATCCATATTCTGAAAAGGTTTGTCTAAAGATCGAGGAATATTCGGTCCTTTGGCAAGCAATACATGATCAAATGTTCAGCATTAAATTAAAAAATCAAAGTACTGCAACATAACAAGAGGCTGGTATTAGGAATAAGAGTTATGTTTGAAATCAGATTCTAGGTCATGGTGAATATATACTTATTCTGTATCCTCATTCTAATGAGGAATTGTATTGTCCCCTTGACAAAACCAAGCTATAAAGCACGATATATAAGGACGAGTATGTCAAGAACTAAGGAACTAGTGATTACCTAACAATAAGAGGGGATTCAGGTTGTAATATCTAATGACATATGAAGGGAAAATTACCAAACAACCGACAATTTAATGCGAATAAAAACTATACTTCGAGTCACAAACAGGGCGCCCAAAATGAGAGGATAATACAAGATCAATGAGTTAAAACAAATTCGTATCGCAGATATGCATTAGTTCAGGCATTGAAGCAACTCATGGGTCTCAGAATTATTGTTTATTAAATTTCCTTCCTCTGCAAATGACACTACCGATCGCTATTGTTTGGAAATTATTGAGGCGGTAAATAAAACCCCAAAATAAATAGTTCTGTACGTCTTCAACATTGCTGCCAGCCCCATTAGTTTTATTGAACATACTCTGACTGAAGGCGCTCGTTCAGGCCTTCATGCCAGATCACTACTGGGGTATCGTGCAACGCAACCCGATTAGATCATATACCTCTCGCCGTATAGGTTATCTTCCCAATATGTTATCGGACTCCATCATTCCTGACTTCTGATTTGACTGAGTTTAGGATCTGAGATTATAAATATGTCACGGAAACAAGAGTTAATAACAATGGGGTTCATCATATTCTTGTCCCTTCTAGATATTAATAGCTCCATAATAAAGTGCCTCATTTGTGGGCGTGAGTTCAAGGAATACTTGATGAAGCTCTTTAGAGTCTAGTAACAAAGTCATTAGCCTTTGAAATTTGGTAAAAGTGTCATAGTTGGAGATAGATATTGTCAACCTGTTCCACAATAAACAATACCACACTGTAGAAAACTTACAACGCATTTGTTTTTGGTGTTTTACGGTCAGTAGTGTATATGCGTTATGTTCTTAGTCTTTCGTCTGGGTCATGAATCATACTCGGGCAGGAGGTTAGGAATGAGAGTCCATTTATTGCTTTGTAGAGAAACATCAGATTGTTCCTTAGCTTACGGTGCCATAAAGGTCTTAAAGAGAGGTGCTCACATCTACCTGTGTAATCGAGAGTGGAGTCACTTACAAGCAGTTGCCGTTTGAAGCGTCTTTAAACGTATACTCTTAGTTTGTCTATGATATTCATATTAGAGAGGATAAAAGAGCAGTATTCAAGGGATGGTCGCACACATATTTTGTGAAGGGTAATCTTAGCCTCTGTCGTGAAGAAACCTTCCATTATGAAACCAATTAGCCGTCTAGCTTAAGAAATAATAGAGGAGGCGTGTTCTTCAAAGTTTAGGCTTCCTGTGTAATTAATTCCTAGATCGTGTACTGATTTAAGTGTTTGGACTTTACCTTTATTTGAGTGAAGTTGAATTTCATAGAAAAGCTTTCCAAAATGCATGATCCCGCACTTGTTGAGGTTAAATGGTAATTGCCATTTTTCACTCCAGATAGTTAGATTATTGGGATCATTTTGAACCACAGGCACACTTTCACTTAGAGCTTCAGGCTTATAGCTGTATACTATTGTGAGATCATCAGCATATAAGTATGGTTTCCCAAATTTTATGATGTTAAATATATCGTTTATATACATAAGAAACAAGAGTGGACCTAATGCACTACGTTGGATGACTCCACTAGTTATTGGTTTAGGTGATGAGAGAGTCATTGTACTTTATCATTTGTTTGCGTTCCGTTAAGAATGAAACAAACCATGAATAGAGTGAGTTGTTGATTCTAAAGGACCGTAGTTTGACTGAAAGCCTTTTGTATGTGACCTTATCAAAAGCTTTCTTAAAGTCCAAAAATATGACAGATACAAGGAGTCCGTTGTCTGGTTTCGGAGTTATGTCATTCATGTAGTCAACTAGGTATGTATCACATGATCTTGACTTGAGAAATCCATGCTGGGAGACCGAGATGAGATTATTAGTAATTAGATGTTGGACTACCGCCGCCCTAACCACTTTCTCCATCACTAGATATCACTGAAGTTACATTTACAGGTCGGTAATTTTCAACATTTGCTTCAGGTCTTGTTTTAATTTTGGGAATGATGTGTGTAGTTTCCAAAGCAGTAGGGATAGTAATATCGTAAACAGTTTGGGAAGTAAAACACTCATATCATCACCTCCATGTTTTAGCATGCTAGCAGGAATATCATCTGGTCCATCAGTGTGGGAGTGTTTCAATGTACTAATTGTCTTAGGGATATTTTGTACTTCAAAGTCTACAATAGTAATTTTACTGGGAGGTGCTGGGACTGTTTCTGAATCATTTGGTGGTTTTTCGTTAGGTAATGAGAAGGAAAATGATCACTAAATAGTTCCGTAACACGTTTATGATCTTCGTATACTTGTTTGTCTTTAATAAATATGTTCCCTCCCCATTTAGAACGTTTATGTTTATTTTGAAAGAGTATAATGAGTGCAGAGGAGTTATTATTCAGTTTGACAGCACGTTTTTCCTGTTCGACTATTTTTTGTGTACTTATTGCCTCCGTTCGGACGAGTATTTCTGTCATCGTAACTAAAGAGAAAAGTCATTAAAGTTGCGGGATCGTGTAAAATGTCTTTGAAGACGTCTTCGTGTACCGACCAGTATATATAGATCTTTGGGGATTTTAGGTCTCCAGGATTCTAAAGGTGCGGTTTTGTTTATGATACTTTTGATGTGATAAAATATATTGGTTAATGTGTTGGTATTGTTTGTAGTAAAAAACTTCCCCAATCAGTGCTTCTAAGGTAATTTTGGAAGTTGTTCTAGTCAACCTTGCGATAGTTTCTGCGAAGTATTACATTTTTAAGTCTACCGGTCGTGTTTTTTATATTACGACTACATACTACAATGTCATGATCACTACCTGGAAACGTTTTTACAATATACACAGTATTGTGGGGCCACTGGTAAAAACTAAGTCCAACATATTATGATGTCTGGTAGGGCTACTGACATACTGAATCAACTGTCCTAGCTCTAGACACTCAATAAATGATTCATAACGTTTTGGAGCCTTGACTGTAAATCGAGAAATTTCAGGCATGTTTAGGTCACCACAAATAAGTTTGCCTTTGAATGGGAGGGACGATGCTAGTGTGAATACCTCTAATAATGCTGCTATTTCACCTATTGTTGCGTTAGGTTGACAGTAGAGATAGCCCAACAGTAAAGCAATGCAATGCGATTGTTTTAAAACAATCCACATCGAACCTTTCAGTTTGTTTAGTTCAGACATACCACATAATAGTGAGGTTAATCTAGATAGGGCTTAAATAAGACATCCTCCTCCTCGACCTCCCAATTCTATCACTTCTATATAGGAAATAATTATCAACAGATATACTTAGTTCGAAAATATTACTGTTAGTCCCTGCTTCAGATAGCATTATAAGTGATGGTTGATATATGAATACAAAAATGGCTAAATCATTATTTTTAATGCAGATCGACTTAGCTTTGATAAGACATATATTGAACAAATGTCCTACTAAGTTAAAATGAATGAGAGTATCTCGATTAAAGTTGTCATAACCCTCACGGATGTGATGTTGTGTTTAAAGTGCGTGATTGCATGTCCATCACTAGCACTGTATTTTGATGGCTGCAGTTAGTGGAGGGATGTATCAGATGACCTGGAGAAATTGCTTGGGGAGTTTATCCAGGAAGGAAGGGTGGACGTACTCTCTGATGGGAACTGTACGGGGAAGTGAGCTTGTTTTCCGCATGTGGTTTGAAATTACTTGGACGATATGCTTCAACAGGGGTGACACTAGGGGCCTTATTCCAAAAAATCTGTTGCAGGTTGAATGTAACGTCTACCGTTGTTTGCTAAATAGTTTTGATGGTTTGGCTCGTAGCCTCTGTTATAGCTATTTACTTCAGTGTGAGCATGAGGGGGGACTGCTGCACGTAACTGGAAGTAGTTGCGACAGTTATTATACATGGAAGCGCTTTTATGTGATAGTTGGTACTGAAGGGTGTGGAAAGTTTTCTTTCCGAGAGTAATTACAATTGTGATCCTGGAGAATGTAGCCAGGGTATGGGTTGTGGAGCCTATAATTAACATTTCCTATAAATGGTTTTAGAGAGTGAGTGGAGTGATCAGTACTCTGGTAGTTTTTGTTAGTGTGCGTGTAAAAATGTTTGTTACGCTCAAACCTACTATCCGTTTTGCAGCTTAGAGGTGTCGATGGCAAGTTACATGACATCAGAGGGTAGAACCTATTCACAGTTGTTGGGGTACCCACAGAAGAGTCGATCTCAATCTTACGTGTTTCCCTATTTGATATCTTGGATTTTTTCTCCCCAAGCATTTTTGTCACAGCTGCAGAGTTTCGATGCCTCCGTGAGATGAATTTAGGTTCATTCGATTCATGTTGTAGAGTATCTTTAGGGTGACTAATTGTCAAGTGAATATGTTTAGTTGGATATGTTTCGTCACACGGATCGCACTTTAGCACTTTACTGAGCGAACAGCCGAGATCAGGGATGTCGTTATGCATTTTGGTGACAGTTGGGATCCATATCCTATACTAAGGATTCTGATCTTCAGACTCATCTAGATCTACAGATTGGCCTGTCGTTTGTGGAATGACATTATGCTTTATATTATTCACTGTGTTGCAAACTACCTTTAGCTGGTTATTTACTGTAGCACTTTCATACAATTCTATTGTTTCTCGTCTTCTCACACGACGTTGACAGGCCGTTAGGTCAAAAGTGACTTTTATGCTCGTGTATGGAATTAGTGAGCCAATATTTTTGCTCAAATCAATAAATTGTTTAGCATCGTTACAACAGCTAAATTTAAACAGGAGAGGGCAAGTCAATCTATGCGACTTTTTTCTAAGGTGGATGACTCGGCAGCATACCACATGCTGTGAGGCAAATATCCCTTAACTTATTTGGGTATGTGCGATGAGGGGGATTGTATACAACTGCAATGTAGGAAGGCATCACTCTTTTCGTCACTTTTTCAGCCACAAACTCTATAATACATTCAGCTTTGGTGAGTTGTTCAAGATTTTTATCAGTATTATTACCCCATATGTGTGTAAGGGGTGCTAATTAGTTAGATCGACCGTTAATTTCGGTCAGGGAGTTTTGTGACTGAAGGATGTCAGTACTATATCGATCAGTATTTTCGTAAGTGTGAGATAAACTGTTAGGTATTTTGGATTTAGGCCCTAGTAAAGCATACTGTCTCGACTATTTTGACTTTTCGATGCACGTGGGTATTTCGCCTTTGATGTCATCTAGTTTTACCGTTGGCATACTGCACGAAGAGGTAGAGGGGTTGTTACGTGGTGAATCAGGCAGTGCTAGTGTTATTTGTGGATAAGAAGCATAAGGTTCAAAAGATAAAGATTTATCACTGTCAGGTATTGAGTCATCAGTCATAGGAGTTACAGACTTTGACCTTTTGGTGGGCTTGAAAGTTGGTGAAATTTCTCTTTTGCTGGAGCGATTTGTTATGATTTGAAGCAGGGTGAGTAGAGGGCTCATCTAACTAAAACATAATATCTGAGTATATAGTATTAACCGGGTTAAAACTAGGATCAGAGACTATGAGTATATAACGTATGTCAGATATAAGGTGTTCAATTATAACGTAAGAGAGTACTGATCAGTGGAAAATGTATATTTCAATTAGTATAATCCAGAGATAATGACGCATCAATGCCAATTGTTGGGGCCTTATATAAGATATCTAGGAAGCGAAGTCCGCGATATGTATATATTAACTGGTAAGTGTTCGTCAAAATTATTTTCCTGAAGTAAAGTGTGACCGATATACGAGATAGGACGATAACCTAAGAATAATGCAGCCTACAAAAGAACAAATCGAAGAAGTTCTAAACCACGTGAAAAAATGTTAACACTTTCAAATTGTGACGCAAATTGATGTCGTCTGCAACCATGGAAGTCTGGCTATATATGTTTTCATCAAATCGATTTTGGAGAAAACAGTTTTACCCTCAAGGTAGTTGTCAACTCGTGAATGTGTGACGACGGCCGACGACCCGGAGCGGTTTTCGTATTCAGTCGTCCAAAGTCAACATTCAGATGTCAATCGATGTTGTCCTCTTCAGGAACCAAGTGCATGAAAGATGCTCATTGACTGTTTGACGACCGAATTATTCTGAGGTCTATCATGTGGCCAGATTCATTTTTATACAGCCTCAACTTTTCGGAAGCTAGTTGGTGCGCTTACGAGAATACAGGTGGTTCTGTAGCCGTGAAGCAATGCGTAACATGAATGGTTAAACATGGCGATCTCGGTTGCACTTGGAATATTTTACAGTATTTGTTAATAACAGATCGATCGTGAGTCTTACTGTGACTGATGACAATCTACAACCGGAAAAAGTAGTTACACTTACTTCTGCGCCAGTGTCGATGAAGTAGAAAACTTAGTCATCACACGAGTGATATACAACTGACGTTAATGTTCGCCGGCTACGTTTGTTACTGTTTTTCGTGTCGGACGGTTCGAAGATTGGGAAACCACAAGGTTTTCTGCGACTTCTAGAAGACCTGCCATACTTATTGTTTGGAGATTTACTTACTGCTACATTACTTATATGGACAAAGAGTTCCGTAGTTGGACATCAACGAAGAGTACGACTTAACTATAGATTATTTAGGTGAAAACCGTGCCTCGTGGGGTGCCTCACGGTACATCTCTGAGGACAGTGCAACACATCCCATATGGTAATGACCGTCTCAGTCTCATATCACTGTTTTTGTAATATGATGACGATATTAAGGAATGGAGGGTGATTGAAAACTAGGGGAATATTTTTAAATGATCTTCATAAATTATCTGAATGGTCTAGAGTCTGTCAGCTGCCAATAAACGCTTTCAAGTGCATCATGATGCATATTAGTCACCAGGGTACATATACATACAAATGGAATACCAACATTCTACCTGTTGTCCAGACACACAATGAACAGAGAGTCACTGATGGCCAAGATTTGAAAACTGCTACAGACTTTTGTACAGTAGCTGCCGAAGGCTTTATTTTGCATGCAGTGTTCGTTCGTTTTAAACTCGAGTATTGTATACAAAGAATCAGCGCGTAGGTAAAAAGGAAAGGAAGCTACAAGTCAAGATTCAGGAGACCGCAACATAAATAATTTTCGGAATCGCAAAGCTCCTGTGTGGAGAGAGGCTGGCCGAACTAAACCTACTTTCCTTGCCAAATAGATAGGCTAGCTGTGACTAGATCACAGATTTCAAATTACTGAATGATATATTTCCAACTAACAGGACCTCAGTTCTCCTGTCTTCCAAGACGGATAATTTATGAGGACACTAAAAAACTCTGCGAGCGCAGAACAAACCACTTCTCAACTAATTACCTACCTTCTCATCGAATCAATAATTAGTGAGAATCCTTATCTTAACAATTGACCTAAGCTCCATCTGTTGACTAAATTAAAAGAAAGTTAGATCGACTGAGAGACCACTGCTTTGAGGACTAACAAGAGCCACCCAACATTATTTTCTTTGCGAATTGGGACTGAAACTAGTTCGTCTTAACGATATTGTTGATTGATGCCATCGGAAACCAGAGAGGGAGCTTCAATGTCTCAAGGTTGTTTATTGTTTGCCTGTCTCCTAACAGTATTGTTTCAGCGTATACCCCACAGCTCTCTTAATAGGTAATGCAGTTGGCTTCCTACAAATAAACGGAATAACTTGCGAGTTGTGCTGTAGTGAACAATTTTTAAAGCTTGGTTTATTACATCTGGTTATATACCGCTTGTATTATCAAGACTATTTCCACTTAAGTGAAAAAGTACAATGAATAGTATGTCTGTGGAAAGTGGTGCTTTAGAATAACATGTCATCGGCTGGATCTACAGGTATATTCCATAGAAACCCAAATGTCAAAGCAAAAAGAGGTTGAAACTCTTCATCCAAATTTGTCATACTAATTCATAAACCTATTTTTACCTTAGTAAATATCTATAGTTGTTCCACTACAATTTAGTTTTGCCCGAAGTTCCATAAATTGTAGTCACCCTGTACTTTCTCAGATTGATCATCCTATATATCTTACTAAATTGGTTATACAGTCACCTATCAAATGTCTTTTTCAAAATACAGAGGGAAAACGTGCTGATTGTGTGTACAACACCAGTGGGCAAGGAATGCTATGATACATAACCTGTCTGACCTTTTATTCTTCTTGTACATATAAGATATTTAAATCGGCAAACATCTCCATACTCATATCAGGATCATGGTTGTTTAAGATGAGTTTTATCAAAAATAAAAGTTTTTATAAACATAGATATTGCAAAATTTGCTGCCGATTGCGCATATTTTTTTCTGTTTACAAAACTGGGTTCTCTGTTGAGAAAATTCTTCTTGTGTTTTCAGGTGTTTTCTTGTTGAACAGTATTGGTTTCCAAATATTGGCGTTTTTGATACATTTTCTGTGCATTAAATGGGACATAGGTATCATCGACGTTTTGGTGATAGAATATCTTACATTAACCAATGGGTTAAGTATTCTTTATGCTTGACGAACTTTATATTTTTAGTAAGTGCATTTTTTTGAATCTGTAGATTTAGCTTAAACATGTTAAAAATGTTTGGGGTAGAAATTGCAATGGTCACTTTAAGCGTGAACGGACCATGTGACACAGTTAAAAATTGTACAAATGACACATGTGTAGTTGTCTTTAGTCCAATTTTTGAAAACCTCTTTCAACTCAAACTATTGGTTAAGTTCATACAAAAGTAGAATAATTACGATCTTAGAAACTATAGTTGTCTGATGAATGGAATATTTGTTACCAGAGTCCCTCTTTTCTGTGCTATGTAATGAAGTTTATAAATTGTTTTGTACTTCATTACTATTGTAAATCTGTAGAAACTGATAATCCCAAACTCAGGCTAGTACCGTAGTATAAAATGTTCCATTACGATAAAATTTGATTGAAATAAAATATTCGAATTTAAACAAGACTGTTCGTTTATCCTAGTCTTACTATTTAAATGTATACATTTATGATAGTTAGAAGTATTCGTATTAATATACTAACTAGGGATTCCGAAATAATGCAATTTAAGGCAGGTGAAACTAAGTGAGCACAAATGAACATATTATATTTGGAATTCGTAATCAGTGGGGAATCGAGCACAAAAGAATCATTGGTTCATAAAAATACCACATTCGTCACTAAGTAAATGAGAGTCCGGATTTTTACAATCGACTGTACTTCTCCTTAGGTTCATTATGTGTCTGTCAGATTGTGTTGAATGTAGACTCCATATGATCTAGAATGTACTAATTAGTATTAGGATTAATAACCGAAATTGGAACAGACTCATATGGTTTCTGGGATTGTATTTGATCAGCATGTCTGTTGTGTGTACTTAAATCATTGATATCTAGAATTCGAACTATAGATTTTCTAACATTCTTCACCCCAATCCCCGTAGCTGGTCAAAGTTGACTTCCACGATAATACGTAACTTCTACAGACTCTAAACACATCATATTTGAACGAAAAATACTTCCTTTTAATAACTATGATAGAGTGTCTTTCGTCACAGAATGTTTAGCATTTCTATGTTGCAGTAGGAACGCGTCTATCCCCCTCCCCCTTTCATCAAATGTTGTATCATTAATGGAATTAATAGCAGTTTTCAACGTTCTGATGAAACTTTTTGTCTGAACATCAGGACAAGGGTGTTTGAGGGCAGTTAACAGACATTTGAAGCGTATATCTTTCAACCAGGCAGTAACTGCGTCCTCAGTAAAATTAGTCATCAGTCACTAATACCATAGGGATTGCTTTTTGACCCAACACTTGTCTGAACGCTTAGATTATGAAGTCAGAATTTGGTGAAGTTGTGAAAAAACTTCAGGGCACTCAGAAGAAGAAACAATGGCAACAAGTACATAGCATTTGCAGAGAAATGGACCACAACAGTCTGCATGGATTCCCTACCAGGCCTCGAACGGTACTGGCCATGGAGTCCACTCCGAAGGATGATTTTTCGACTTAAGACATCTTCCACAATTGCCTGCTCTACGACATATATCTACATTTATCTCTGGCCACCAACATGTGAGCCTTGCCAAGGATTTCACTTTCTCAACACCCAAATATTCCACTATGAAGACCTTCAAAGACAGATTTATGTGATGGAGGATCAACAATATCATCATTTGAACACAATATACCGTCAGGTATGGTGAATAATTCATCCCTCCTTGAAATTTAGACAGGAGGTCTACATTTCAGATTAACATTCCAACCTCTTCGTCTGGCACTATATATACATTCAAGGTATCAACGAGTTTCTGTAATGAAATCTGGATGTCTCACCGGTAAAGGTTGTACTAACAAACAGTTTTCAGTATTGACAGGTTTATCTTGTAATGATTTTCAAGATATGTGGTCAAAATGTTGAATTTGTTTAGTACTTCTGTAATCAATTTTATATTCATATACATTCAAAGCAATACTCCATCGTTTGACCGTAACAGCTGAGAGACGTGCTAATGATTTTTTCAGGATGATGAGTCTTAAAGCTTCGTGATCTGTAAGAATAGTAAACTTCTTTCCAAATAAATGTTTATGAAGTTTTTCAACAACCCAAAACACAGCTAATACTTCTCTCTGAGTTTATGAATGGCCTTGTTAAGTAGCAGTTAGTTTGTGTGAAACACAGATAACTGGTCTACCTTGATGCTCCGAAACTGCACCAATACCCACAGGTGATGGATCAGTAATAAACACAGAATGTACGCTAGGTGAGTAAGTTCGAAGGACAGCATCACTTTCAAGGAACTTTAGTAGACTTTGTAACCGTGACTCTTGCTCCTCAACCCATTTGAATGAATTAGATGTCAAAATATTAAATAAGCAATTGGGACAACAAGAAAAATTAGGACTAGAACGGGAGTGGTATTGAAGAGCACTCACTAGCGAACATAGTTCAGTAAGATTTTTCGGAGGTGGTGCATTTGTCAGTGGAGCTAGTCGTTTCATATCTGGTCTAAAACCATTACCATCAACCATGAATAATTGATCATCTTGGTAAGCTTCGACACCTCTAAGATCACTATCACATCTTGAAATATGGCTGAAGAAAAACTTAAACTAAATGGGAGAAAGTTGTATATGAACATGTCAAACGGAGTGTTAATTGTTGTTAAAATAGGTGAAGATTGATCTAAAGGGATTTGAAGATAAGCATCTTTTAAGTCAACTCTCGTTAACACTTTAGATATTTATTATTTATTTATTTAAACACATATATATTGGTACAAAAGGGCACCAGGTACATATGCGCCACACAAAATAATGAAAGTAGGAAGAGAAGGGATGAAAAGATAAGGCGGGCTGAAATGTACAACCAGAAGACTCTTTCAGTTAAAAAAGTTAGAACCATTCTTTATGTAGAAAGTAAAAGAAGGTTGCAGCAGGATCGCCACTGGCTTCTATTCTGAGCCATATCTGATAACGTCTCTAGCCACTGTGTTGCGCCATCTCTCGGACCCCAGCCAGGGAATCGTGAAGGACCTACAGAAGCTAGCCCTTTGCAGCTTTCTTTCATACCACGACACCATGTCATACACTGAACACCTCTCCGCTTTTTCCAACCAGTCCCAGAGTCGGCAAATAATGCACGACGTGGAATTCTCTGGGACGACATTCGTAGAACATGTCCAAGCCATCGAAGTCGGTGTTTCAAGATGGTGACACCAATTGAATTATCGTCTCTGCGCCCGAACACACGATGCCGAACCTCTGCATTACTAACATGGTGTTGCCACTGGATGTCAGCAATCCTTCGGAGACAACGATGATCTAACACAGAGAGACGTCTAACATCCTCAACTCGGAGAGGCCAGGTTTCACAAGCATAGAGCGAAACTGCTCTCACCGACGCGTTGTAGATTCGACCTTTTACAGCCAGACTAACATCACGAAGGCGCCAAAGATGGCCCAGATTGGCATAAGCCGCTCTGACTTTCATTATACGTGCATCAATCTCATCACTCACGCCACCACCAGCACTTATATAGTTACCTAGATACACGAACTTCTCAACTACTTCAATCTGCTCACCATCCAGGGTGAGTACAGGATGAGAATCCTGCCAGTCTTGTAGGAGTACTTTGCACTTGGGTGCAAATCACATGTCGTACCTGCGGACACTGATTGCCAACTGATTAAGTGCGGATTGCATGGCTTGAGCATTATCGCACAGTAAGACAATGTCATCCGCATACTCAAGGTCGAGAAGTCGTTCTCCAGGCAACATATCCACACCGCCATTACTTACATCCATCAGAGCTGTTTCCAGGATGTCGTCGATAACAAAGTTGAAGAGGAATGGTGAGATCGGTCAACCCTGCCTAACCCCACTGCTCGAATGGAACAAGGGAGAAAGGTGGTTGTATGCCCTCACTGTGTCTGAGGTGTTCGTATACAGGGCCTTTAAGATGTTAATGAACTTCTCAGGCACACCCTTCTTCAATAGACAATCCCAGAGAACAGTCCTGTCCAACGAATCGAAGGCCGCCCTGATATCAAGAAACACTACGATTGTTGGCCTGCGATAAGTATGACGGTGTTCTAACATTTGGCGGAGGGTGAAGATGTGATCAATGCATCCTCGACCAGAACGAAAACCAGCCTGCTCCTCGCGAGTCAATCGTTCTCGGGTTTTAAACAACCTACGAAGAATGATAGAAGCCAATAGTTTGGACGCAATCGAAAGTAGACTTATCCCCATGAAGTCGATTTAGAATGTCGTCAGCCTCCAACTTCATACACGTTTGCTTCAACAAACGGGAGTTCAGTGTTAATCTATGATCACCACATATTATAGGGGTCTTGCCATCAGACTGCAAGGGGGTAACAATAGGAGTATCTCGTGCTAAAGATTGTCTCGGTCCAATTATATGTCTCTCACACAAATTGTTCAATGTCTTATGTGCTGCTTCTCGAAGACGATAGGGAATTATTCGTCCCTTAAGAAACACTGGATCAACCTGTACTTGCAGTTTTCTAGGCTGAATCCTCATCCCTCCGCTTCACTTAGCATACGCAGCTACCAAATATTTAAGTAAAGCATAAGAATCTTCTTTAGAAACGAATAAAGACAACCCCACTTTGAGCCTTCTCAAATTTTTGAAGTCCATTATTGATAGTCCTGATTCACTAACCGAAAATTCACAACGGATGTATGAAGAATTATCATCTCCCATTAGCAATTCACAGCATCTTCGTATGGACATTTTGTGTCCAGTAATCCCCAATACTGAGACTTCAGTGGGTTTTACTGCAACATTATAATCTAAAGATTTCAAGTTCCTGAATAAGATGATATACTCTATGCTTCCTGTGTCAATAAATAAAGCCATGAAATGAACAAGGGAAGGTATATAATCGCCCCTGAATATGTAAATTACCTTTCGAAATCGAAGACAAAGATAAATGATCATTAGAATCACCTAACTTGATAAAATCTGAACTACAGGGTTTGTCATCGCTAGTGGAAAGACAAACAGTAACTTTACAAACCGACTGGATTAGTCCCATTTTACCACACTTAAAGTATTTGACATGACGAAAGACACATAAATTATGTAAGTCAAATTTGCCGTAAAAGAAACATTTACCAAACATGTGTTTTACTCCGTAACCTGCTTTGCAATTTTTTATATTTCTTTGAGAATGCGAACCATTGATAAACAAACGCGAGCTTGGTCGATCCTGAGATGTAGTTCATCACGAAGACTAAGCAAAGTATCAGAAATTTCCACTGACTGTAAATCAAGGTCATTCACTACCTCACAGTTGATATATGCTGTTTTAATTTCTTGGAATAAACTTTTGGACTTCTGAGTTATTTCTCTTTCCGAATTCGGAATATTTACCCCAGCTATCAGCTTATCACGAAGTTTAGTTTAAAATTGGTCTCCGAAATCGCACTTCGAGGATTGTTTCTGTAGTTTAAGGACAAAATATCTAGCTTTCTGATCATTTTGTCGCATCGTTTTATGGGACTTCAATCTCTCTCTGCATTCAAAAATTGATTTCTCTGGAAAAGCCAGATTATTTAGCAGGTTTTAAGCTTCTTTGCCGATGAACGTCAGGAAGTAAGCTGTGAATTTATCATCTTTAATATCATTTCAAGTCATACACAAGATTTTGAAGTGCTCCTTGTAGTCTTCAAAATCATACACGCCTGGATTAGTATCTAACTGTCCAAGAACTAGATGAAAATATTGTATCCGGCATTCGTATTAATCGCACGATCAAGTCCAAAAACTCATTAATTCTTACAAATACCACGATATCTCAGAAGTATTATGTGTATAGAAACTAATTTCTAAGCTCTATTCCCAATTGGTACAAAGCAATAAAAGTATGCAGGATAAGAAGTTGAGTTTAAAATTGAAAATTAATGCTAACAGATGGTATTTCAGCATTTGGGACATCTCTACAAAAAGTCTGATTTCACAATTACTGGGCTGTGTAGCAATGTTACTTTCTAGCCTTACTTTCTTATGGATTTTTGGATTAGTAATAAGTCTTAACGCTTCGGTTTATATGATTTCATATCATAACTAATTATTAAAATCGATGTTTATAAGTTCTTGGCACTTTTATGAACTAAATTCATGTTTTACTTTCAGGCTGTTGGAACGGTGTTTCTTGTATTCGGTGTGATCGCATTTACTGAGTCGGGAGGTATACCATGGAAATCTAAAACTGTTGCATTGCATTGGCTTTTCAACTTAACCGTAATTTGTATGGTCGTCGGGGTCATAACCCTATTTGTTTCACTGGCTGGTTTTGTCGGGTCTTTACGTGAAAACACTTGTCTGCTGAGATTTGTAAGGAATTCTATTCATTAATCCTACTTTGTCTCCTTACAGTATTACTTTATTTTAACGTTGCTTTTTCTGACAGAGGTTGTTTGCTGTGTATTGTTCTTTGTGTACCGTGAATCAACTATCCACAGGCTTGAAGAGTTAATCAAAACTACTTTTGTTACTCAATATAGAGAACTTGGGTTTAAGGATACAACAAACTTTATGGACTTTATTCAAAAAGAGGTATCTTAAACTATGTTGTATTAATGTATTTATTGAGTTGAGTTGCATTTTTTTGTTCAGAATAGTATAATTAACATATTGCATTTTCATAAATTTCACATGTGCTATTATCTGCCTGATCTTAAGTCATGTAATCCTTAACGCGCTTTTCTTTTACTCCACGAGTTTCTCATTGATTTTTGTTTTCAAATGTAAAACTAGAATTTCTGTTTTTTGGCCTACGTTAAATCTCTCAGTGGTGGGTAACAAAATTAGAAGCGATAGAAAAAAGCTTCGGGGATAATCAACAGTTGACAATTATCAGGTTTATCACGAATAACTGCAATTAAAAGTCGGCAGTTTGTGAAACTCATAAATTAAGACCACTTATCCATTCTCATGCTGAGTGGAACAGTTTAATAGACCACCGGTTACTCTTCACTAGCCCACTATTCACAAACAAACTGAACAGAAAAAGAAATTCAGACATCTTACTTAGAAGGGATTTTGAAAGAATATAGCTACCTTTCGCCCAAGTTTTATTGGTATGGACCCAAATATTTTGAAGAATCCTGGTTCAAAATTCGTAGTTAGATCCAATAAAATGTCATTTTGAATTTGGATGTTGGGTTCGATTCCATCTAACTAGTTCTGATTTCTGATCCTTTGAGACCAAAAAGGACGCAAACACTCGTGCGGTAATCATGGTAAAATCAATGGGATTAACGTACATTATAAGCCCACAAGTTATGTGATTACACAATACTTAACCGGCTTGAAAAAAGCAAACCAAAGAAAATCATGTTGATTTAATGTTTGACTGTGGAATTATAGATCATGCATTTATTCTTCACTAATTAGATTTGCCAATATCCGACCGTGACTATGTTTCTTATCCCCACCCTGTTAATCCAGAAGTCTTTGTGAGGCAATCTATCCTAGAAAGACGTACATCACCTTTAAGAAAAACCTTCATTTAAACAGAGCTTACAGTTAACTGCCATCTTAATTAGTCGTGGTTGGTGGACCTTGTCAAGGTTGTCCACTTTGTTTTTTGTTTTGCTGATATGTTTCTGGAGATAAAACTATTCGTTTGATTTTCTAAGAGTCAACCAGTTTTCTGGGAACTCTTGTCAACTTGTAGTGCGCAAACAACATAGTTCTGTTTGATGAAAATGCTGAGGAATTTCAGTCTTTTGTCTTCTAAGCAACTGTATTAAATTATGGAGTATTCCCACCGTATAAATAAAAGTAACCTATAATAACTGCTGTGCATCTATGCCCAGTTTTACAGTTCTAATCAAAGTGTCTAGGTTCACTAATATTAGGGAATCTCATCTTTCTTGATGAACAGTGTATGAAAAATTCCTCCACTTATACTAAATTCCCTTTTCGGTTATACCAATCTTACGCAACCTGTGGCACATGTGAGATAATTGTCTGTTTATTATTCTTTTTTTCCTTCAAAGTTTTAAATATAGTGTGTCACTCACTAGTTTTCATTTTTGCCTCTTTACTTTTTTCCCTTTTAATTCGAGTTCTCCATCAATATCAATATCTCTAAATTCAAATTCTTTGTTTACCCCTTTGTTGATTCCTCTTTTGAATGCATTTAAACTAGGTTCTACATTGTTCGGTTTACCATAATCCTGAAAAACTGGAGATATTCGTTCTCGCTTTTATAGCATTAGGGCAGTAGAAACATGATCCAAAACTTTACCAAAGTTCAATGAAATGTCATCTGTTCATATGAACACTAAGTTATTCCGAATCAGTTCGCTTCCTAATTAATATTCCGTTCGTGTGTCTCCATAAAACATTTTGGAAAACCATTTTGGAGAATAAAATCACATACTAACGATAGGGTCTGTAGTTTGTAAACAATTGTCATACGTATAAACAAAATACACTGTTGCACGCGAACAACAGCCCTAACAATCATGTACGGTAGGTTCGTAACTGACACCATGGGTCGTCATAACCCTATACTACAGTTATTGCAACCAAATTTTCCAGAATGTCCGTGTGACATTTTTCCAGCCACTTAAGGTTTCAAGTTATGAAAGAAAATCAGTTGGTTCTACAGACAGTGTCCACCCGACAATCACTGCTACCTTGACGTAGTGGCCAGACATGCCTATCGTAATGAACTAATCGAGCTATACTGGCTGGAACAATCGTTCCTCAAGTTCTTACCATACCAGACAGGTCGGTTGAAGGGTAGTAAGACTAAAAGCAACAAACCCAATGTCCGAGGACGTACTGCTGACTGGACAGAGGTGTGATGGCAGTAAGGTGTTTCCTTCAAACAACTAGCATAACTGCACACCTCGCCTTATCCTATAGATTTCCGTCTCTGGCGGTAAGGTTCCAATAAGTACTCAAATAGACCATATTGCCACCAGTGATCGTAGGAGAGGTTCGGTAGAAGATTGCCACTCGTCCTGGAGTATATGATTATGCTCTTATACGAGCACGCATTTGCTTGAGCCTCACTGGACGCAGAGAAGCCACATTAAGACAGTGATAGTTTTTCTTGACTTAAGAGCAGCATTTCATCCTGTAGACCAAGGGGTTCTGTGGCAGTGTCTATCATTGAAAGGTGTACCTCAGAAGTACATAAGCCTTGTACAGGCTCTTTACTCGAACACTACCAGTCGAGTGAGAGCTTATGACGAACTGTCATCTGATTTTGCAACCTCAAGTTGTGTCCGGAAAGGCTGTCCACTATCTCCATTTTTGTCTAATCTCATCATAGACCTACTACTGGAAATAACATTCTCGTCGACTGAATTTTCGGGCATTGATCTCTTCAGGAGGTCCACTTATCGACTTAGAATACGCAGATGACCTAGTCCTGTTTGGTGAAGATGCCGGTAAAATGCAATCTTTTAGTAGTAGCACTGAGTAACAATGCCAGGATATTTGGAATGCGTTCCTCCTCCTCTAAGTGCAAGTTGTTGCCTCAGGACTGGTCTGTGTCAACACCTGAACTAGGGATAGGGAATGAAATAGTCGAACGCGTCGACAACTTCACTTATGTTGAAAATCTGATCAGCCCTGTTGGGCTGGTGTCTGACGAAATCTTTACATGAATTCAAAAAGCTCGTTTAGATTTTTACAAATTACGTCACTTATGGCGAAGACGAGATATCTGTCTATCAATTAAGGAACGAGTATACTGCTCAGCAGTTCGCTCTTATCTACTTTACGGCTGCAAAACGTGGTCATTAAGAGCAGAGGATACTCGTAAGTTACTAGTATGTGACCACAGATGCCTTAGGAATATTGTTTTCATCTTCTTGGATCACCGGGTAAGTAATAGTGAGGTTAGATGCAGGGTATTGGGGGATGATGGTAAATCAGTGGATGAGGTTGTGAATTTTCATCGATTGAGGTGGTTGAACCACGTGTTTTTTGGCCTTCCTCTTTTCTCCTTTCCTTCCGGATTCCAAGTTACGGCTTGCCTCGTGATACAGTTTGGTGATTTCCTTAATGTATGTCCTATCCACTTCTAACGTTTTTTCATAATTTCCTCTTCAGCTGGAAGCTGATTTGTCCTCTCACATAAAGCGCTGTTGCTGATAGTATCCGGTCAGTGAATGTTGACTATTTTGCGTACTAAGGAGTTAGCTTACTATATTCTACCGATGGGATCATCTTCATTCTATTTTACAATAAATTTCTCCAAACATTCACTGTCTTTGTTATCGTATTTTTCGGTTTTTAAGTATTTCCTCGCTCCGAAATATTGCCAATTCGGCAAATGAAACTTATTGACAGAAGGTGTATCCACGATCCCGCCTCGCGAGATTTGAACCCAGGATCTATCAATCTCGCGCTGGGGCGCTTAATCTGTAGACCACTGGACCGGCATCCAATGGTGTTAATATCTAACTTCAAGCAATCCACGAAATTGAGCAACCGTCCGCCATTGTCTTCAGTGAGTTGCTATCTCACAACAGACCCGGTTGAACTGTACTGGTCACTGCTTCTCACTAGAACTCCAGGAAATATCTCTTGGTGCGCGAGACTGATAGGTCCTGGGTTCAAATCTCGCGAGGCGGGATCGTGGATGCTCACTGCTGGAGGTACCCACAATGGAACGAAACGGACGTTCAGTGCTTCCAGGTTTTCCATGGTGGTCTAGCTTTAACTGACTCATAATTTCAACCAAGAAATCACTAAAATCTCCACAAAACCCCCTTCTGATAAAAGGTGTATCGTTGACTTATGTAGGATTTCAAGCCTATTGTAATAAAGGTTAATAAAATTCATTAAAAACACCCATTCATCATCCAGTAAAAAAGCACAATATCATGAAGAAGAAGAATAGGCTCATAAAATGACTAATAAAAAGCACAAAGGCCTCTTTTGTCATCTTATATCACGCATATTGTCTGAAGTTGTGGAATTGGAGAGAATCAGGGTGAAGCAATATGAACGAGCACAGTTGATACAGGTTTACATTACAATATATCTCAGTAAAATTAAGAACCCGGAATTTCATGAAATGGAATCCTAATCGGATGTTTATACTTCACGATTCAGATTTCCATCTTCATGGTAGCATTATCACACGTTTGTTTTTAGTAATGCCTACTTACTATTTTCTGAACAACATTGTTTGAAAACGTAATCGTCTGGTCAAACATTTTTTGATATTATATATATATATATTATATTTATTTATTTACATATATCTTGTATGTAACAGCTTAATTGTTGCGGACCTAAGTCATATCTTGATTGGACAGCTAGTCGATTCTTTTCATGTGATAAGTCTAATATAAGCCCTGAAGCTTGTGGAGTTCCATATTCTTGTTGCCGTCAAATGAATGATATCAGTGTAAGCATTTTTTTTTAAAAGCTTTCTGTAACTTTGAACAAACTTTTATTATTTGTACTTCAAATGGATATTTATTTATTTAAACACATAAATATTGGTACAAGGAAACACCAAATACATATGCGCCATACAAATCTCATTCGATTTGCTTGAGGGCTGTGATACTGCCCAGGTGCCCAAACTGAAGCAGGTGGTTTTCTTAGGGGGCCACACCCCGAGAATTCGACTTAAGGTCTGATCCACAAGGCAGTGGAGCATCGTGAGGAGATGCAGTCCCATGGTAGCCGGTGATCAAATATTGATTCGTACGCCATTTGTTTCCTCAGGATACTGGAGCCCATGTGCACCATTGGTTTGGAATCAGGGTTTTCCAACTCCCCTTGGTGGACTCGCCGTGTTAACCAACCTGGTTAGAGCGCTGGACATTCGCTTTTCGTCCTCTCAATTTCGTAAACAACAGTAATGCCACGAGAAGGCAGTGAGTAGGACTTCCCTGACAGAGGCTATATATTCGCTGGCCATGTGAGAGCATTTCGAGAGGGAGAGCGGACTCTCCCCACTCTCGGCCGTACCGGGGCATTTGGGGGCACTTCAAATAGTTAACTTATCAGTTTTCAATTTTATCATCCTATAGTCATACTAACATTGTTGTTATTAGTTATTCGCATTAGAAAGTAGTGTGTAAATGTAATATTCGAATGTGTATTGTTTTTTTAAGTTTTGCTTTGATTATCAACGGAATGAAAAGTTCAGTAGAGTTCAGCGTGCAGGCTTCCATTAGAAAAGAACCTTACTTTACAAATCTCTTCATATGTCGTTTCAATAACAAACAAAAAAAGAATTTCTATCAAAATCAACCATCCAAGCTACAAATTTCATCCACTATTTCAAATGAGATGTGTTAGTACACACACTACAAACAAGATCCAAATCTCGTTATTTCATTGTATACAAAAGTAATAGTGAAAATAGTTAAAAGTTCATTTTAATCTTCCTTATCGGGTTAATCTATTCACATCGAAACAAACAACAAAGCAACTCACTTGCACTACATCATTATGATGATCAAGATCGTAAATCAAGAGCATACTTTTCATTATTTTTTTTAGATATCGTTCGTATAGCTAACTTCCATCATAATTTTCATTTTAAAATATGTTTAAAATGAAGTGTCAAACCTTCCATTTCATACATAAACTAATCAATGATAGTACTTCAGTAAATAAAATACCGTTTGTATGTGTGTGTGTTAATAAAATGTACGCCACTTAGTAAATTTAAAGTATTATTCAGAAAATATGTTAAAACTATGTTTATCACAACGTTGGATTGAAATGAAATTCGAGTCCTGTAATAAACAACTACACTATGCACTAGTAACCACAGTACCTAAAAATATTTATAGAATACTACCATATACCAAATTTCCTTACATAAGTTATCATTTCATTATATGTGAAAAAATTATATTTGAAATAGTCTCAGCGATTGAAATTTAAATAATTCCAACGTTACAGATGAAGAAGACCAACAATTTGAATTGAATAGGATTTTAGCTACACTTAGGGATAACAACTACCCAAAAGAGTTTTTAAAGAAGATTGTTAGAAAGGAAAGAAAAGCTAAACTGTAACATGTACAGAAAGATTGGAAGTCCACTGTAGTCATACCATACCGTAGCGAAACATCGGAAGAAATCAAACGGATTTTAAACAAACATGATATAAGAGTGTATTTTAGAACATGTGACACTATAAGATCGTCATTGGTGAAGGTTAAGAATAGGTTACCAAAGGAAGAACAACAAAATATTGTCTATGAGATCAATTGTCATGATTGTAATGCAGCTTATATTGGAGAAACATCCAGACAATTGAAGGTAAGGTTGAAGGAACACAAACAGTGTTTAAAAAACGTTCCCAAAACCTCGGTTGACTTAAAGAAACTTGAGAATAAGTCTGCAATAGCGTTACATGCGTTGGAAACGGGACACATGATTAATTTTGAAGGGGCCAAAATACTTCAGAAAGGTTTCAACACTCACAAAGAAAGATTGACAGCAGAAGCGCTGTATATATGGGCGAATAAGAACAGCCTAAACAGAAAGGATGGTATTCAGCTAGCTACCACCTGGCAAATATTCTTCAGCAAGTAATTTGACCTTTTTCTTTTATTCAACCTGTTTACTTCACATGAATCGTTATTATGACTGAAATCAATATGAGTTATGTTTAACATTACAATTTATGTACTTGATGATTCTCATTTTATTTGCAACTTCGATGATTCAGAAAGGAGAAAAAACTTTTCAACCTTCATTTTGCACTTTTATTCTTATTTTTACTTCACATAGAAACATATCAACACTGAATATCATTCATTAATAACTCATCTTACACATACATACATACACACAATTTATGCAGTCTCCTTTAATTAACATCGTTGAACTTTTCACTTGATTCTCATTCAACTGTCTCATATTATCCTGTTTACAAAAACTTCGACATCCAAATATGATTGGATTAAAAAGTAGTAGAGATTTTGATATGATTGTAAAAACACTATATTTCTTTGATGATTTTGATTATTTCCCTGAAGAGGTCCAGACAAGTTAGCTGGACGAAACGTTGGAATTATTTAAATTTCAATCGCTGAGACTATTTCAAATATAATTTTTTCACATATGATGAATTCTCTATACTCGGCGCCCAATTATTGTCAAACTATTCGTTCTAATCTTGACGAACATTCGTATAAGTTATCATTTGTTTTTGTTACACAGAAGTAAATCTTTATGCATCACATACTTCAGGATTCACTTTAAACGACTAATTTTTTTTTTTACCATGTTCTCGTATTTCTTATCTTAATTCAGTTCTTACAACCAGTGAGATATTATCAGTTTATTATATGTGTTTATATCAATATGATAAGATATTGATAATAAGTATAGTATAACTTTTATAGTAAAGCTATCGGATACTTTTTTATTATTTGTCTACTTGCTGTCATTTAGACATTTGACCTATTATGTAAAACTATGTGTGTCTTATTGAACACATGTCTATACATCAATCTTTATCGATTCTCTCAATGGTTATAAACACAAACAATCAATAATAACTTATCCATAATCGATTAACGCTCTTAAGTATATATGGATTCTCTTGATACTTACACTCAACTTCCCTATGTACTTGCAGATTTTATCAATTATTGACAATACACCATCGATTGTATCATTGAATAAAAATAAAGAGAATTCAGCGAAGAATATTTGCTTTTCGACGAAATTATTTACTTGAGCTGTACATTCATATTTATAGCTGATGATTTCATCAAAAAGAAAATTCTCCTCGCTGAATGCTCTTTATTTTTATTCAAATACACCATCCCTGCAACTGGTGTTCTGGTTTTTGAATAATCTTGTTATGCTTGAACTAAGTCGATTTCGCGGTAACGAACGAAAGGCCAATGACACAATGACACGACAAGCTAATCTAATCTGTTGTCCCAGGCCCCGCTAACTAGATGGAGAAGTCCAAGACAAGTAGGGGAATATATATTCCGTAATCAGCCGAGTGCAAGCGAGTCATAAAGGGGAAAAACTCAAGCGTATATATACAGCAACAAATTGTCCTTGGGCATCATTATAAAATAGCACACTCAAAGAAACAATGGACCAATGGCGTTTAAGATAGTTTAGAAGTGGGAAATATGACGTGAAGGTAAAAAGAGCGCTTTTGGCACGAAAACAAATTTTCAAAATAAAATTACAAAATTAAGTCACTTATCAAGTAAGTTCTGGGGATTCGACATCCTCAACAATTCTTGAGTAAATTCATAATACTACTAGGTGATTTGACCTGTGTAAATACTCAGTTAACGGAATGTTATTTATTGGAGTCAGATATAGAGGAATTAACCTCTACAAATAACTATCATAAAATTTGTTTGATTTCTCTGATGAGTGGTCGTGGTTATGTATTACTGAATATTAGTGATCCTTAACTAGCACGAGACAGATGCCTCTGTGTTGGAGTTCGCTTACTGTTTTATTGATCATCCAACTTTCACCAGTCCATGATAAATTCTAGACTCAAGTTAATGAATTAATTATTACTGGATTTAATTATCAATAAATAATAATAATAATGATAAAATGTTGGCCTAAAAATCAATCATTTATGAAATAATTGTAATGGTATGCTTATACCCGACCATAGGTTAATATTATTAATACATCATGTGGATTTGGTGTACAAAAATTCACAACCGCTGAAGCCAGTCGTTTGGTATGGACAACTGGTTGTGTTGATGCTCTTGTCAGTATAGTAGAAAACAATATAGTCTATTTCGCTTATGGATTTGTTAGCGTAGCTGTATTTCAGGTTAGTGCACAATATAATACCTGGATTTAAAATATTCCGTGACCTTTTTTAATGATTCCAAATGTCTTTGCAGATGATTGGTTGTTAGTTTCTTTTGTTTTTAGCTCAGATTCTTAAGAAATAGAGTTGTCTTATTGTGTAAAATGTTCGTAAACATCACTCAACCATCTTTGATGACGTTTTTAGTGTAATAACTTTACTCCCAAATCTGTTAAACTGTATATTAGTTCTAATCTTTCAATGCTCTGGTCTTGTTGAAATTAGAAAAGCTTGATGCATCTTAAATGTTATCTTTCGGTTTCTTACTCGTAATATCGTTCAGCGATACCCTACTGGTTACATTGATATTCTCATAAAAAGCAAAAGAGTGAAAGTAATAATCCTACACCTAAAAAAATCCAATAAATTCGATGGGTTTATTATGTATGGAGTTATCATCCTATTCAAGGTATTATTACTCTATCATTATGTAATGAAATCTGAGGTTCATTATACTAGACATCGCCTGGTTCAATTATCAGCATTTTCTTATTGAAGCATCGTTTTCGACTACCTGAATACATTTTACACTTATCAAGTATTATTCTCTGACTTTGTTTGGTGTAAAAATGATAAGAGACTATCAGCTTATGATATAAGACCTTGGGATAAACGTAATTCTGTTTGATTATCATCTTGTAATTCACATCATGGCTTCCTAATTAAGATTCTAGCGTCTGTATAACTTAATGACATGCGATCTGATCAGTTGTTGTTTCCTATTGTGTGCTGTTTATAAGTAGTAAGATGTTTTTTGAAATAAATGAAGTTTATCTTAATTTTGTTCACATTATAACTATATCCTTCAATATTTTCATTTATATACCACAATTCGATTTCTCCTATTGGATTAGTTTGGAAGTTTCCATGTTTCATATTACTTACATTTTGATGCTTTCATTATATACTACTATTGAAGTAACTACTTCTATGAATTTGGTGTTCATCTTGTTGTGCTAATCAGGTGTGACAAGTTAGATCGATGCATGTATGTGCCTGGTTCTACATTGTAGATAACTGACTGACAAACGTACGATATAATTCGACGTATTTCCAGAAAATTGCTACTACGGTGGCTTGGAGATAAGCAGTTTACAACTACCTGGTCCTACGTTGTAGGTGATTGATACTGTGCTAGGGGTTCTTTTGTACTTTGATAATAATAACACATTCGGTAGCAGATACTTTAAACAAATAACTTGCTACAGTTTTGTATTTCAAAGTTTACAGCATTATTTGTTTTTTCAGGATATCCTAATACTCCCTCCTTTTATCACCATCCATCTGGAAATGTGTTGGGATCACCCTGCAATTTTCTCGCAAGCGACATGACATAAGCTCAGAAGTCGTCAAGGGGCATTTCAACCAATCAGCGATTAATTAGAAGTTATGTTACTAAAATAACGAGAATGAAAAAGTCACATGTGGAGATCCTGATTGGCTGATTAATATACTGCTACTATGTTTAGCAGTATTCTAGAACTTTCGGTAAAACTCAAGGACTCTTAAATTACTATAAAATCCCTATACTTTCTGTACATAAATGAACCCTGTAGTAAAGTGCTTCCCACACACTTTGTGCCTTTTCTCTGGTCTTCAAGTCTGTGTATAGTTCTAGCTCGGGGGTACGGAACTAGCTTAGTGAAGCGAATATAGCGTTCACAATCGGCCAGACGTAACAAAATGTATATATATATATATAATTAGAAATTGTATACGCTTTCTATTTCACTTCTCCAAATTTTCCTATTTCTTTTTTAGCTTATAGCTATCCTACTTGCCAAGACACTACATACACAAATCAATGATCAATTGCGTTTACTGCATCAAGAAAATAATTACTATTGAGAATTTCTCTTCTGTCATCTAAAGATAATGTGCACTATTATTATTATTATTATCACGATTTTTAAATAAAAGAATTTATTTTGGGGCTATTTTTTGTGACTACTGCTAATTCTTCATCTGTTGCTAAAACAACAATTTACTCATCTCATGAGAAATGTATAGGGACAGTGATACGAAAAATCTTTCCTCATCAAATCGACAATATATATATTCATTCCTGGTCGATATCACTGTGATTTTAACTTGCTCAGTCCTCTGCTTGTTTTATTTTTTCTGTTACATCCTACTGAATTACAATTTGTTAACTGAAAAATAAAGTGAAATATAAATCGTATTCTATTGAAATTTTATGTTCTTTTGATCTAAAACATTGTCAATGATGGTTGTTTGAGTACTATATTATCTTTCGTTTATTCTATTGAATTTATTTTATATCATTATATTACTACGATTGGATGTAATTTTTACTCAGAATTTTGAAGGAATTAAATCAACGACCTCAAACACATATCATACAAGATACTTAAAATATACAAAATCTATAATTTAAGACTACTGTTTATTATTAGTAGCATATCTTTTCATTGTGTTCAGCTTTTAAAAAAGAGTTCATTTGTTTAAGTCACTAATCAATTAATTCTCATGTTAACGTAATTGTCCAATTCAGTCTCAAAATATAAATATTTTCAACAAAATTAATACTTATCAGAAGAGGGTTTTGTGGAGATTTTAGTGATTTTATATAGTTGAGATCATGAGTCCATTGAAGCTAGACCACCATGGAAAACCTGGAAGCACTGGACGGCCGTTTCATCCCATTGTGGGTACCCCCAGCAGTGCGCATCCACGATCTCACCTCGCGAGATTCGAACCCAGGATATACCAGTCTCAGCTCGGCTCAGTGGTCTATCGGTTAAGTGCTCTGTCGCGAGACGGCCGTCCAGGTGTTCCATGGTAGTCTAACTTCAATTGACTCATGATCTCAACTATATAAAACTAATACTCGTTGAACAAATGGTATTCATCGTAATCTATCAGCCTGGTAGATAAAAATCTAATGTTCATGAGGAGGGTTGCTAGCTAAATGTTTCAATGAGAACAATATAGATATAGACAAATGCAGCCGATATCTTATTTCATGACTACGTATGAATATTGTTGTTTTAACTACTCTAGAACGTTTCTTCTGAAAACTAGAATTTTAATTTGATATGTCAGTTAAAATAACCCTGTATATTAGTCCTTTTCTTTTAAAGAATTCCTTCCAAAGTTATCCACATAAAAGTATTTATTTTAGGTAGTTGTCGTCAATATTCTACTTCATTATTCGAAGTATGAGTAAACACCTTAATCGGTTCAGTTGTTGGATACATTGACCTTAATAGTAGGTAAGGTAACTTGATGAATAATCTGTTCATAACCTTGGGAACTGTCATTCAGGAATGCAATAGACTTTGTTTTTTGATGCAGTATAAATGATCTAAAAAATAACTAAAGTTAGTAAACTGTAACATTCTATGGTGTTTGAAATAATTAATATTCGCATGTAAATCTCAACAGTGTTTTGTAAAATATTCACATAATGAAAACAAGAACTGTATTTGAAGAATTGTATTCACACTGTCCGGCACCTAAGCAGTCAAACAAGCAATGAAATATGAGTTTATGGATAAAATTTAACACGTCATAGTGATATGCTCAATCAAAGTTTTGAACATTTCGCGTTCTTTCGTTAAAGTGAATGTCAATAAAACAGTTACTCAATTAATTTCTGTCTGTACTTTCGTTAATTTGTCAATCTTTATTACTGAGTCTTTGTCTTGTCTTATACGAAGCCAGACATAAGAAATCTAGTCTCAGAATTAGTTATCAAGTTTTCCGAAGTATTGCCTGAGTATGTCTGCTTGATATAGTCACTAGATCATCAATCCAAACTTCCTCTTACTGTGGATGGACTCACTGCGTAATACTTTTAGCCTTCACCAGATAAATATAGTTCATAATTTAGCATGAATTGTGTTCACAGAGTATTTTGCTAATGTTTTGCAAAAGCGTCTTGTCTCGTTCCCATTATTTACGCAATCTAGATTGTAATATTAAAAAAATTTGACTTTTCAGGGTAATCGAATACTGTGATCAACTATCTATTTTGGCTAGTTATTTGTAATCAAAAATGCCTCTTTTCCAAAGAAAATTCAATGTACCAAAGTTTCCTGCTCGAAAAGCGTCTAGTATGACAAATTTATCACATCTAGACTCAACTACGCGAAGTCAAGAGTTCAGCATGGATTTAGGACCAATTAGAACACGTTTAAGTGGACGGGATCTTGTATTCCGTAATGGACAGTGGATCATTGGTAAGTTGTTCAAATGTACTCCTATGAGTACAATAAAGGATAGATGTTAAACATATATTTACAAATATTTCTGGACTTATGAAGCAATATTTCTTTATGTACCAATAATAATTAGTATTCTTTTAATAAAAAAAGACATTATTGGTAGTTTGAGGATATATTGACCAACAACCTTGTTTGTATAATTTTTTTAGTAAATTGAGTAAACATCGTATGTGTAAGGTGCCATTGTAGGAAAGAAATATACTTAAACCAAAATTATGTTTTAATTTGTTCTGCTCACAAATCTACTTGATTATATTTGTAAACAGCTACAACATTTTAAGTTGATTTCAAATCTTTTGGAATGAAGCGCTCTCATTCTATCTGTACTAAATTCCACATTAGAATTATAATATATACACGCTTTCATATTTCCAGATTCTTATGTTTCGTGTAATATCAATGCTACGTGATAAAAAGAAGCATTTTTCTTATATGTATTTCCTGTAGACAACACTCCCAGAACTCTATTATTGATGTATGTTGACTTGTCCCTTGAATGTATGTCGCTGGATTACAAACGGTAACATATATTTTTATATGGGAACGTTAAATTTTCATACATAGATAAAGAACTCAATGTTATTGCTGGATAATTTTGTCAAATGACTAGTCCCAATCAAATCTATTGTAATAAAGCAATCCAACAAACATAAATAAAAAAATAATATATTTGTAATATTCCAATGAGTAGAAAAATGAGGTTTTCTGACGTTTCGTGACTCAGTGTAAGCCACTTCTTAAGAAAATAATTTTGTTATAATTATAATTTATTCTCTAAAGAAGTAGTTTACACTGAGTCACGAAACGTCAGAAATCCTCATTTTTCTACTCATTGGAATATTACAGATATATTAGTTTTACCTATAACAATCTACCCAATGCTCAATTTATTTGAAATGATCAAGTCAAACTTTGATAATGATATGAACAAAAATAGCCTATTTTATTTATCAGGGTTAGCAGTTACTTTTTTCCAGGTATCATTACCGAGTTTTGATTTGATAATTTTGAATAAATTGAGCATTGGGTAGATTGTTATAAATAAATTCATATATATGTAATATCTCAATGAGTAGAAAAATTAGATTTTCTGACGTTTCGTGACTCTGTGTAAGCGACATCTTCAGAGAATAAATAACCAAAATCCTAGTTTGAATAGTACAACGGAACAACACGAATATTAGGTGATCAATCAAAAATCTATTTGGTTACTTTTTTCATCTTTAAAAGTATTGGATTTAATGTGAGTAATATTAAATTTGTCTCTAAAATTTATCATACACATAACATAGTCTCCATTGGATTATATAACAATTTGAAATCTCCATATTATTATGTAAGTTTCTGTTATCCGACTTCCTTCAGTATTTTAATTCTTCTTTCTATACCATTTATCATATTTCACTTATCTGGATATTTTGTTCAATATTTATATGTTCATGATTTTCTGTAAAACATTTTTTAACTAAGATTCACTGTTATTTAATGTATTTTATTTATTTATTCGAACACATAAATATTGGTACAAAGGGGCACCAAATACATATGCGCCGCACAAATCTCATTTGATTTGTGTGAGGGCTGTGATACTGCCCATGTGCCCAAACTGAAGCAGGTGGTTTTCTTAGGGGGCCACACCCCGAGAATTCGACTTAAGGTCTGATCCACAAGGCAGTGGAGCATCGTGAGGAGATGCAGTCCCATGGTAGCCGGTGATCAAAGATTGATTCGTACGCCATTTGTTTCCTCAGGATACTGGAGCCCATGTGCACCATTGGTTTGGAATCAGGGTTTTCCAACTCCCCTTGGTGAACCCTCCATGTCCACCAACCTGGTTAAAGCGCAGGACATTCGCTTTTTGTCCTCTCAATTTCGTAAACAACAGTAATGCCACGAGAAGGCAGTGAGTAGGACTTCCCTGTCAGAGGCTATATACGCGTGGCCATATGAGAGTATTTCGAGAGGGAGAGGTGACTCTCCCCACTCTCGGCCGTACCAGGGCATTTGGAGGAATTATGTAATGTGAAACCATTTTAACATTCAACTTATTATTGAAAAGTAAAGTGAAAAGAATCTTAGTTATTCTCTTCATATCAAAGTAAAAATCATTACTTTTCAAAAGTAACTTGTATTTCTCACATAATTACAATCTGTTCTATGAATGATAAAGTGTAGTTGGGATGAATTCTTGTTGTATTATTTAGTATATTTATCATATACTAGTCATTTCAACTATCATCTACTAATGATGAATATAGAATACTTGTCGACAGATGACTTATTATTTATAAGGTTTATATATATGTTATGTTTTTGGATACTTAAGTTCCTTTCTAATTACGGGCTATCAGGATTCCTTTATAAGACGGACCAGAGTCTATGCGTACTAGGTAGACCAGACAACTAGTACATAACACTTCAACAATAAACCCCTGCTCAATGGAAGAGAAAGAATTCGAGTAAGAAAAATGTATTGGACAAGACCTCAGAGGATAAATCGTTTTTCTCGGGGTCGTGCAGCTATATTCCGAGTAATTTAGTAATTATTAGTTAAAACACAATTATTTGAACGAAGAATATTCTTTTCAATAATTTCTCATCAGGTTCTACAATTATAAATTAATAATCCATAAAAGAAGATTGGCCAAGTTTAAGACAGAGTACATCAATTTAAGAAACTGTAATATGTGAATCAAGGATTGTTTGTCATATAAAATAAGATCGAATCGTTAATGTTTTTGGGATGACTAATATGAAGTGTTAACTTGAATCAGTTTATAGGTGAAATAAAATTATCAGAATATATATAGTTGACATGGGGGTGAGAGATAGAAAAATGGGATTACAAATCAGAAATTACCTGATGAGAAATTATTGAAAAGAATATTCTTCGTTCATATAATTGTGTTTTAATATGATGGGAATTTTTCAGCAATTATTAGTTACAAAAATTACCAAATAGCTGTTATGTAAGCGCCAAATCAAAAAGTATTTCTGCAATTAGTCGTCATACTGAACCGAAGTCAAGTGAATGAAAGATTACGCTGCAGCAACTCAGGGTTGAATGGACAGAAATCATACGAAATTGATATGAAAGTTAACTGAATAAAAAGTGATTTTATGAAACAATACATAGTCTGTTACTCAATTTCTAACTACTAATTCCTATGTAGAAATTTAACATTCCCAACAAAACGGTAATTAAATTATAGAACAAGAAAATTGATAATGTAGCTTAATGTTTTTAGCATCACTTATTCTTTTGGAATAGTCTTTTGTGGATGACACCATTATTCCATTCAAGTTATTTCAATATATTTAATTATTTGTCATTTTAGAAGGAGAAAATGGGGTGTTAAATGATGAATCTGGAAATGCAACTCAATTGGGTCGTGAAACATTTCGTATTAAAAAAGAAAATCATCAATTAATTGAAGAAAATAATTTGTTAAAGTTGAAAATTGACATACTCTTGGATATGGTATGATATTATCTAAGTTTAGATTGCTATTATCCTTATGTGCAAGTATACATAATTCAACTTATTTTATAGTTTATATCGGGAACTGACCTTTCTCAGACTACCATTTAAATCCAGAAAGCACTGAACAGCTGCCTCGTTCCAGTATAAGAACCATCAACAGAGCAGATCAATAACCCCACCAATAATGCAACCCAAAACCTTCAGTTCTCGTGATGAGCTCATAACCTTTAAACCATGGAATCAAAATCGACTTAATTTGTACTTCTAAGGAGTCCTATAATAAGATAAAACAGCGCTTCAGTGCATTATGGTTTTCATTAGTTGTTTAACGAAGGTCATTTCATAGTATTTCAATAATCTCTACAAATTCCTTTTAATAATTATACTTTATCCAAAATACATCTATATCATTATTCAAATTTTTCTATTTTTTTATTTTCAAGCTCGCTGAAACTACAGCTGAAGTACATTTACAAGAGAATGAAATTGAAAATCTACGTAATACATTACACAAAAAACCAAATACAACAATTCAAGTTTCTTAATTATATAACCTTTAATATCCGTGTGAAATCATTCTTTGTGACAATATTCCATTATTAAATCTAATTTGAATATGAATTAATCACTTTTAAAAATGGAACACTCTACCACTTCTTTATTATATTAAAACAAAAAAACTAAAAACATATTCTTAGTTTGCATTTGTTTTTTCTCTCTCTATATTCTCTAATTTATAAAATATATGTAGTTTGTGTAAATGTTAAGAATAAATTTAATTTATACTAAAGCATATTCTATTGATTTGAAACTGAATTTGTTCCATATTGATTTCTTAATTTTCTTGTTATCTTGTAGAATATATATAGCGAAAGGCAACCAGAGTGAAACATGTAACCATTCGTTTAAGTCACTGTCTGTTGAAGCGAGCCATGTTAGTAGGTGCAGACTACCTGGTTGGGGTCCTCTCTATTACTTTAATCAATAGTCAGAGACTGTATTGACATGTCTCAGGATTGTTCATAATGACTAAGATTCATTCACTTTTTGCTTTCTCCTTAGATTTTCAGTTCTGAACCATTCCATACCTTTCGCTCTGCGAATTCATTTATTCTTCTGGAATCATATCGTCTGTTCCAAATATTTTCTACTAACACATATAATGTTACTAAATTTAGTACTTTAGAATTTTTATTCTATTTGCTGATATGTTGTGACAACTTGAGTCCCTCCATGTATAAGCTAGGTTCTACGTTGCACATAACTGACTGATGTAAGCCCTGAGTAAATTTGCATTGACATTCTAGTTATAGTTGGTATCTAACAAAGTAGTTATATATTCTCACCTGTCTTTTTAAAATTAAATGTCATTTATTTCTGTTTTAGCGATCTCGTGCATTTCTTTACACCAGATACTATGACAGAACACGGGGATAAGAAAAACCGAAAAATTCCAAATTATTTTGGTAAGGAAAATCTTGTTATGTTATTAGAAAAATAGTTCTTGGTGCGTTTATAGGTATATCAGGTCTGTCTTTAATGGCAGGATTCACATATAAAATATCATCTTTCAAGAAGATCAATCCACTACCATTCATGCAGGTTAGATTTTACTTTTTTTCAAAATTGAGGATAAACAATTTCCGATAGTTTACCTTGAAGTTATTTCGTTGTCTTATTTCTTTTATCACATACTACGATTGTCCACTTCTATAATTTATTCAAACATGAATCCTATCAATCTCTGATCATTCCTATTGGTCTATGTTTTGTGAACTTTTGAACTGGTTCAATAAAAATGAGTGGCGTTGAAGAACAAAATTATGAAATGACATTAAGATCGAGATTTTTTAAAAGTCAAGGGGTTAGCGTATCTTTCTAATTGCAGTTGACTTTAGTCTGTTTCATAAAAGTTAAGAATAAACTACATCATCTGTCTCTTAACTAATGAACCATACCATGACTACTATTTGCTATGTTGTCAAGTTATCACATTCACACCCATTTTATTCATCGAGAAATAACCATTTTAGCAGATCACCATTCGATACACTGCATTCAACTTGATAAATACTCATGGAGTGCTGCAGTCTCATGATAAACTCATTCTATTTCTACCTACATAACTCGTATTTAAGTTTAGAGTATTAGTCATCGTATCACACGTTGAAAATAACAAAAGATATGCATTTTCCTAGCTGTTGTTTGGTAGAGTTTAGTGGCCCAAGATCTGACTCTATTTGGATCATATGAGTGATTGTTGTTGAAATACAAATGTCGCCAATCCTCGTATATAATCATAGACTTAACTCACGTTAGTGAATAACGGAATAAAAGCAAATTAAACATGAGAATGAATTTCGAACACGTGTATTTCATACATTCCTTGATCCAAACAAACGATCGGTGAGACGAAGCAAAACAGATCCGAGAAGGCAAGTGAGCCAACTCGATTTAACCAATCGTTAATCCATATTATAGTCAGACAAAGATAATTGGCAAGGTCAAAATTTGACTCAAGACGAACGAATAAATTGGCTTGTCCGAAAGCTGGAATATGCTATGTGGGTTTGGATAGTACTATAAGAGCATCAAGTTGATTTGGAATACCGTTTCAGTATATTTGGATAAGCGAAACTGTCCTATGAAGCGATTCTTCTGCATTGAGATATAGCTGCGTTAATCTTGATAGCTTCAGTGCTGAATTTATTCATCCCATTTCGTACCGAAACTACGCGGTACATACATGAATCCAACGGATAAACTGATCATGAACCACTAAACAGATCTGAAATCAGTTGGTGTACAAACTATGAAATCCATTATTGCTTATATTAATAACGATATATCGCTGCAAATATCCAAGCTATCGAGCCTACTTTCAAAAGTTTATCAATTTTTCAACCTAATTTTTATGTTTTATGACATTTTTCTCTATTATACTGTTCACAGGCAATTAATCAGGACAAAAATATGCAGGAATCTGGTATACATTTTGCTGCTCGTGCTCTTGGAGTAGCAACAATTATAACTACCTCATCACTAGGAGCATTGTCTTTATTTATGTGGTACATTATAAACCCAGTGGATAGAAACGACTTTAATGAACGTATGCGGAATGTATTCCCTTCTAGATGGAAGATAAAACCGTCAGATTCTCATTCTGAAATTAGAACTTTCGAACAGCTTTCAGCCCTAATAAATGATTCTGTAAACAAGAAATGACGAATAATCATTACTCCCGTTTGCAACTTATTATTCTGGTAATCTGCATGAAACGAGTGTTTTGATCATAGTATTTCTATGTCGTTAGGCTGTAATTTCGTAAGGTCTATGGATACAATTTCAATGAGTTCTACCGACCGATTTCTGGCATCCTTCAAAAAGATACATGCTTAGGCGTAATTATAACGGATGGCTTCAACGCTCATGTTCGGATTTGTGTTTTACTCCATTGATGGTGACTGTCTAATGCAACCATTTACTCTCAACAAGCAATGCTCCTTAAAATGGAACGCTGACCGTCCTGGTAAATCCTGACATTAATTAGACGATGGAAATAAGACACTAACCCTTCTTGGTCATCGTTGGGGGAGGTTGATGGGAAATTACAACTATTTCTGTTATACATATCTGAATCTCGAATTTTAGTTCGAGCACGCGCTTATTCGCTTCTTACTAAATGCAGAAAAACTAATAAGATAACCTCTTATAATTTTGGCTCTGAAGTGTCTATCTCAGTAAAATAACAAGCTTAAGCAATTAGCTGGCCAAAAAATGGATGTTCATTTTGTGCTGATCTAGTATGATTCGGTTTTTGCTGGAAAGGCAGTAGCGACTTCTATTAGCAACCTAAACGAAAAGGTTTGGGGAAGCCATTGGATCTCGGAAGCTTATCACGAAGAAAGCAAAGAGCAACTGATAGTCTACTCAGTAATTACATAAGTGAGAGATGGGAGGTAAATGGTATTAGTGACTCAAAAAATAGTTTAACCTCAAGTAAGAAGAATAAGGTTGAATGTTGGCGGGGAAAGTTGCAACAAAATCTTTTTCTCATCTCCTAATGAACTCGCATAGGATCTCGTTTGTTAAATCTAGAGAAGTATGATTGTTTTTAAATGTTCCGAATCCAAGCAACTAGTCAGTAAAATAGGAATACTTTGCGTGCCTAAATATTACCAAGAAAGGATGACGTTGATGTAACTTAACTGGAAACCAATCGCATCTTGGCTGGTCAGTTTTCCTTGAGCTTTGACGTCGAGTGTGGAGCATTTCTAGCTAAGCTGACAAACCGTTTGAAATTTGTCCTCATCTATTTAAATATTACTGAAGTTGAGTTGTTACACAATACAGTCCATCACCGATGACCGCTCCATAAAAAGTACACAGTACAACGCCTTCACGTTACTTCGTTCTGAGAACATGATAATCGGTCAGCAATAAGAAACTGATTCGTTATTACGCTAATTACTCATTTGCTACCTGCTCTGTGATAAAAGAACACCATTATGTTTAGACCTAGTCGCATGGATGATAGGTAGGGAACACTGAAAAGATCCTACTTCCACAATTTGAATTTAATTATTCTAAGTGACTTGTTCGATTGAAAGATAAACTTCAGCAATTGAGGACCATCCCGAATGTGGTAATTCGTACCAGATCAGTACTTATGTGATAGCAATAACTGTCCTTTCCGTTCAGTGAATACCTTTTTTCATTCCCAATAAGCACTCCTCAAATACGATTGACGGCTTAACACTTTTACGTGATAACCGAATTTAGACCAATTACAGAAATATCTGTAGCTAAGACAAACTAATCAGTTGGTGATTATATTCGCATGAGAACCGTTTAGTTAAGGAATTCTAATGCTTTAGTATAAGGTGTTTTCATAGCCCCCTCCTTTACGATATTGAAAACCTAGAAGAAAAGTGGAAAAAATTAAATACTTCTATGGATGAATCTTCAGCATAATTGAATGACTGTAAAAATTAGTGGTACCACCGTGCTGTTTAGTTTTAATTGCATTGCGGTCTAAACCTTCAAGCTAGCAGGTGGAAGTTTGGGTACTTTAACAATCCAGCTACTGTCTCAAATCTGAATTGACAGGATATTCGCGCCATATTCTACAACAAATCTTTTTTAATAAAAAAACTATACTTCACATTTCATCTCGGCCAACTAAATCGTCCTAACAATATCACTTTTAAGCTGTCTGGAATATATGCAGTGCTTTGCATATATGACATCGTTTTACAAAGTACCTACTTAAGGTTTAGTTTTATTATCAGCTTCACACATTTATTTTTGATTAGTGGTTATCTACGATAAGAAAATGTTTTCAGATAGTTAGGTAAATCATTCTTGAAAATATTAGTGAGCTGTACAAGTGGTTTCTAGTGAGATAAATACAATCATAAATTAGGGTTTTTGTCCTTTTCACTTTGCATAGCAGAATATGCATTGTAATCTATATGGCTGGATGAACTGAAACCAAGACCGGCGCCTCGCTGAGTATGTGTTATGGTGCGAGACATCTCATATTCGTGTTCAAGTCGCCGGAAAAGTTCAGCTTGCGCTTCAGCTCGACGCAAAGCTTCAGTTTCATTGACATGAGTAGCACTTCCGTCCACGACTTCTTCAGAAGAATCATGAATCCCCATCAATTTCCGAAATTTAGCTGCGGCTGCAGAATCGCCTTTACCAGCAATTAAAGATGTGGCCGTCCAAAGAGTTTTACTTTCCTAAGTGAAAAAAAATTTGTATTTCGCAATGAACATTTAGAATTTACTCAACAAATCAAAAAATGAACCTTAATTTTCTAAATAGACTATTACTTACAGAACTAGTGTTTTCACTATCTTTTTTTGACCACAATAATTTGCGCTTTTGTTGTTGCTCCGCAAGTTTAACGGCGTTGACAGTGGTTGGGTTGTAGTATTTTGGGAGCTTTGCTGCAGCGGCAGCGGCTAATGCCTGAGCCTTGGCTTGCTCTTGCTGATGCTTTTGTATTTTGTCTAATATATCCTGTGCTGTTAATCGCTGGACAGGAACATTCGTCGTAGTACCTGAACGAGAAAGCATCGAGGTAATTAAATCTTGGGAGGATAGCATCTTATGTAGTACTAGTAATTAAGTTTATAAAATCTGAATGACTAAAATCTCTGACTTCAGTTACCTTTATTTTTTGACAAGTGTGACTTGATATTGAAGCTCTACGGTTTGTCGAATGGATATATTGAACAAAATGGACAAACGTTTAGCACGACATACAAAAAAGAACTGCCATTTTAAATTGACCTACTGCATATATATTTGTCGCAGTTTGATTATGTTCTTAAACCTGGAATTAGAGATTTGACATATTATTATTCTTAGTCTTAAAAGAATTATGCTACTCAATTGTCCACATTTGCCAATCTGGATTCGTCCAGGGATGACATTTCTATTCACACTATCAAACTACGGCGCAGTAATATGTATGGTGAACACATTTCTACGATGGTTCATTGACTAAAAGTAATATGGTGAATTTGTCACTAAACGAGTTTCAAAAAGCAAAATATACAAGAAATGTACTGAAAAATGACATTCCGCTGTGAGGTTCTAATTATATCGGGAAATAAGATTTAGTGAGTACATTGTGTTTGCTTTAGACGTCTAGCGAACACGCCGTGATTCCTTACTTTTATGTTAATCTGAAATATCTCAATTCTCGAACATCTAGTTACCACAGAACTGTTTTCTCGTTTTACAGTATTTTATATCTATTAACGTTAGTTTTCTCGGTGGCTAATATACTGTATTCTAAAATCTAGTTTTATGATCTGAAATACTGATAGGTTAAGACAGTAAAATTCGTACTTTGACTAGAAATTGCCGGAGAGTTTGTCGTCACGGTGACTCCAGTAGTTGAGATAATGGGATTAGTGTTGTGGTTTTCTGGCTTCGGTTGCGAACTCTGAAAAAGAGATTATGAAAAGATGACAAATCGACATGACACAAATTGACATGATAAAAAACGAATGTAGAGAAGCTGGTGTTTTGTGTTATTTGTAAAATGAAGCAACTAGCAATTACAACAGAAAAACAAAATTCAAAATTCCTGGAACTCTAGCTTGTTTTAACAGCACAAAAACAATAACTATGCTAGGGATGACAATCCGTAAAAATAAAGTGTACTGGATATTAAGTACCCAAAAGGGATTTCCTGAAGATAATACATGACAGACTTACGAAGTAATCCTTGGAACTTGTTGTGAGGATTTGTGTTGAATTCCTGCCATTATGACTTCCACGCCGATTAGGTTTGCTTTCAGGGCTAGTATCACTAGATGAAGTGGTAGATGAAGTTGAACTGTGACGTCGATGCTTTCGGCGATAACGATGTTTATAGTCACTACAGTGGGAATCACGGTGATGATGCTTTCTGGATGAGTGTTTGTGCCTCGAATGGTGGGATGAACGTTTGTGTTTTGAAGAACTTATACGTTCACTTGGACTTCCGCGATCCGATCTGAATTAATTAAACACCAGAATAGAATTTATGAAGGCATGAGGTTCACGAAAATCAAAAGACGATAATATAGGTCAACTATTAGAAGACCTGTTGTCTCATAAGTCGTCCCATTCAAGTCTGCACATATATACTTTTAATGAGTAGCACTTTAATTAATTACTCTTGAAAAAAAGACTTGAGGAGATAAGTAATGGATGCAGATTTTAGTTTGGTGCTACCATATTTGTGCGACTTTAGTTTCGTCAGTAAACTCCACCAATCTTTGACATTAATGGCACCACGTGATGTCGACTAAGTTAATAAATTTGCAAAATGCAGACAAGTTTTCCATAATGGACGATCATGGGGTACAGCGACAGATCGAGTAACAACTGAAGTGTGAATTTTGTGCACAGATAGAAAACTGACATGCAAAGTACTAGTACTCATGAGGTTTCTAACAATTAAAAATGAATGAAAATTGTGAGAATATGGCCGGTTTCTTCAGCTGTCATTTACTTGTGGACTGTCAGTAAATGCAAAAAGTTGGTAGACTAAGCTTCGTGACTATAGAAATATTTATTCAATTGCACAGAACTATGACTAATTAATAAAAAATACTGATGAAAAAACAACTTCCATCCCAAAAGACATATTTAAGTAAACTACACCAGTTAACTCACTGCCACAATTATGTTTCTTAGGGTCTCCTTGGACAGTTAGTCTT